CTAGTGCCTCCAAAGGGAACCTTGGCAGTGGTTCCCACTGGCTGGCACCTGGCTGAACCTCAGCCTGGGCCGCCACCCGGGCTCAAAATCACAGTGTCCAGCAGAGGGAGCCCTGCACCTCGCTTTGCCAGGGAGGGTCTGTCTTCAACATCCTCAAAGCCACGGGGCCTCCAGGTCCTCAGGCCAGTAACACCAGCAGCCGCACCCCACCCGAAGGGACTGGGTGGCTGGGGAACTACAAAGCCTAGCTTGTGTCCCTTTGCGCACAAAACACGCTGAGCACCCTTGAGTATCAGGAAAGTGACCCACGCTTGCTTTGTCTCAGGCACTACTACTAAAAGAGAAGTTTTATTTTTTTAACAGAAGTTCTTGCTAAACACCTTGGTTCAGTGCTCAAATGTACACCATCCTGCAGCCCCTGAAGTGTGGCTGAGCAGGAGCCAAGTAGGGGCAGAACGGGCTCTCAAGGGAATGGAGCCTCCTGAGGACGCAGTTCTGATCCATCGGGGCAGGTGGGAAGGATGAGCAGGGCTGCCCAGAACCATCGCAGGGAGGGAAGGCTGCCCAGGCCTACAGGGCCCCCAGCCCCAGGGCCTCGGGCAGCTGGCCAGGCCTGCTTCTGCTTCGTGGGCCACACCTGGTGGCAAGGGTCCTGCAGACCTACCTCCATGTGCCCCTGCACCAGGTTCTGTACAACTCTTATGTCTTGAGCTTGCACCATGGCCACTCCCTGTGGCTCCTGTTACTCGCTGTGCGTCAGCCTGTGCCCGTTCTCTCATTCACCTTCTTGACACCCTGCCCTGAATCCCTCTGCACCTAAGTTTGGTGCCCAAGCACTGAGAAGCACCAGGCCTAGCTCTACGTGGTGAACCCCGGAGCCCAGGACACATGGGACAAGGTTCCCATAGTGTACTGCTGTATACAGTCTGCACAGCTCAGCTGACGGAGGGTGTGGACCAAGGCTGCCTGGTCTCCGATGTCCCTCTGAGTTCAGACAGGCCCATAAATGTACAAAAAGGGGCTTCTAAACATAGTCAGAGGCACCATCCAAATGTGTGGCTTGGTGGAGCTGGACAGGTGGAGGTGTCCCTGCCTCCAGGAACTAGCGTGTGGTCCACCCAAGGGCAGTGCAGCAGCTGCAGAGGGAAAATGGGACAGCGCAGAGGACCCGGTGGGGAGGCCTGGGTGCCTCCATTCCCAGGGACGTGAGTGGGGTGGGGGTGGGGGTGGTAGGCATGCCAGCTCCCTCCCCCAGATGACTACAGTGAGGAGCAGTCTCCACTTCCTGAACATGGGCAGAGGGCTGGCCCCGGCGGTGCCCATGTCCTGAGCCCCACAACTGTGTGTGGCAGGCTGCGTAGCAAGAGCACCACAAGGGCCAGTCAGAACATATGAGTGTTTCATAAAATGTATTATGGTCAAGACATTGCCATGAATCCCCCCAAAATGCCCTCGCTTTGCACACACTCCTCCCAGCAGCCTTGCCACTTTCTGCCACAGCTCTGGACTCCTCTTTCCTAACTGTCTTTACTTGCGCTGTCCTTGCTGCCTAATATCTTCAACTGATACAAAATGTTTCCCTGTCATGGTCATTTTGACTTGGGAAACAGTCAGAAGTACCCGGTGACAGATCAGGTGACTAATAAGGTGGACAAGTACAAGGTCCTGTTTTTATGAGCAGACTTTCTATTAGACGGTGCTCAGCAGCAGCACTCGCCACAGGCTTTGCTCACTTTGCATAAATGCACTTCGGGCTCCTGTGAATGTCATAAGTATTTCCCTTTGCTCTTTCTTAACTCAGTTCCTTGGTAGTTAATAGTGGTGTAGCAGCCCTAGTCTTCTAAGGTCAATTAAGACTCAGGACATATGAGAACTTGTACTGTAACGTCATGTACCTCGGTAGTGTCCCAAATTTTCTGATCAAGAAGATTATGGGGCCAAAGAGGAAAGTGATCGATGACGTAGAGTGGGCCTAAGGAGAGTCACATGGGGAGAAAACACTCTCTCAGGCTTTCACAGGGAGCACATTGGCCAAGCAATGGCCGTGACTCATCCACATGGCTGCACTGACAAAGGTTCTACAATCTGAGGTACAAGATCTCAGGATAAATCCTGAGGGCATTTCACTGACCTTCTCAGACCAAAAAGCTACAGTTCTTGTTGCACAGGTCCTGCTTTACCTTGGTCTTAACCATCCAGTAGAAAAGTATGAAGATGAAATATAGGAAATAAAGCCATGCTGTTATGTTGAGCTGTGGGGGACTCAGGTCAATAATTTCTGACATTGCCAGTTAAACAGAAGACCCAATGCTATTATGGGCTACTGGACTCTTTTTGAATATTTTGCTGAGTTTACACACCTATAATATTCAATAACGGAACTTAGAAAAAATGGGGTATACCTATGAATGTCCATTTTGTATCTGTGTATTCAAAGTGGTTGGGATAGATATATAGTTGCATTCTCTTAATGAATAGAATGATTTTTCTAATGGTGTTTGTAAATAGAATCACAAGTCCGCATCTTGTACAGCAATTAACCACTAAGAAGAATATATGCAGTGTATTATTTGTTGAAACTGTACTTCCGATTTGATTTGAAACTGTCTCATTGCTGTTTATCAATAAAACTTTGAAAAAAAATTTTAAAAAATAGTGGTGTAGCAGATGACAGCAAGGAAAAGCACCCACAAGAGAGACCGTATTAAGTTTTATTGGAAGCCAATGACCAACATTCTGACACTGAGTCAAGAAAACAAAATGCCAGCCCCCATTTGGACTTTACCTCCAGGTTATAAACTTTCTAGTTTTCCATGGTAACCATGTCACCATATTATCTCATTCTCAAGAATTTTACAAGAATGCACCAGGTTTACATTTCCCAGACAATGTTGACCATCTGCTGGTCATGGGACATTGTATATTAACATTTACCTTATTCCCAATTTGTTTTAGCTATTTTTATCTTTATGGGCTTACTTATTCTCAGTGGGTTTATGGTTAGCTACATGGGAAGAGATGCAAGAGTGAGTTTATCTACAGTTTAAGTGAACTTCAGTGACTTTTAAACTGGAGTTACAAGAGAAAATGGAGTCTCTAGGCCTTCAGCTGGAGAGCTGAGCCCCTGCTCTGCCTGGCATTGCATGGCCATCTTCTCCAGGTGGGTGTCTTGAGCCCCTCTCTAGAAGCACCTCAGCTGCACAGTCGGGGCTCACCCTCACACACTAGGCACTCCTTTTAATACAGCATCTGCAGAGATGCCCTCCAGCTCAGCCCACGTTCTCAAGTTCCAGGTCAGGACAGGAGACGAGAGACACGTCCTAGGTTCAGGGATGCATGCAAGAAGTCGGCATGGAGCTCCCAGCCCTCTGCCTCGGTGGCCTACAGTGGGACTGGGGCTGAAGTGCTCAGAACAAGGCTGTGGTAGGAGGCTACAGCAGTGCCTGCCTGTCCCAACCCTGACCCTGACATCGTGCCCAGTCTGCATTGACTTGGCACCTGCCACAGCAGGTGGCTCAGCCCAGCATCACTCTGTGGGTCCTGGGTCAGCAAGCGGGACTCTAGGACCACTGGTATGTCCCCCTAGCAGGACAGACACAAGGACATAGGCAGCTGGACAGCTGAGTATTTGAGGACAACTTGAAAGCAAGAGGCACACTTCCTGATAGTCACTTCAGTCACTCATGAAGATCATGACTTTGGTCACTAAAACTGCTCACAACCAGGCTGCAAAACCCCCTTCCCTGAAAGGCCCTGGGTCCCAGTCTGTCCACAGTGACTGCTCCTCTGGGCTCAGTGTGAAATTGAACCTAAACTAAGTGGATTGCTGTGTCTTCCCCACCACCGCAACAGCAAGGACAGAACCCACAGCTTGCTTCCTGAGTTTTCCTGCCCAGCTCATGTTGAGTGAATGACCTGTTTCCTTCCCAGCCTGTTAAGAAGACCACCAAACCCTCTGCACCAGAGCCAGTTCCTGCTGGCCCCAGTGCCTGTTTTATAAAATAAAGTTTTACTGGAACTCAGCTGCACCCACACATGCACAGACTCCATCCCACATCTGCATTACCATGCAGCATCAGTGGAGGTGAGAGACACGCTGTGGGGAGTACAGAGGACTCCCTGGCCTTCACACCCTCCTCTATGACATGGTGGCAAGTTCTCAGCAATGTGCTCATATCTGCCCCAACCACCCACAAGGGCACAGACTACAGCAGGGCCACACTGTTATGTGATCTCTCCCTGGACACCTCCATCGTCATGAGCAAACACAACCCCAGTGGTGACAGGATGCAGGGGCCTAGGAGCCAGTGAGGTCCTAGTTGTCTGTGGCCTGCCCCACCATTTCTGGGGCTGTGCTGGCTCTGTGCTACAGCAACTCAGTACCTGGCCCCTTCAGAAGTTCTTGTAGTCATCTGTTGGTGTCCTAATGACCTTGAAAGTCTCTACAGTCACCTTTCCTCCTGGGCTGTTGGCTGAGTCTCTTTATTGATAACCAGAGCCTTGCAGGAGGCAAGAACCACAGCAGACAGAGATGAGCCTGTAGGTCTTCACATTTTGGCAAGGGTTTATGATAAGACCACACGAAGTATTGAAAACCATGTCCGCTATCCCAGAACCAAGGCAGAAGGGCTAGGGAAGTGACCCTGACTCCTGGGCAGCCCAAGTGTCTTCAGGTGCCCTGTCTGAAACTTCCTTCTGGCTGACCACATGCACTGCAGCCTGGACATCCTTGCCTATTCCCTCCATAGCTTCTGGAGTCCATGCCTTGCTGCTCCTCATTCTACAAAGGCCATGGAGTCCAGGATCCTCTGCTCTGCATTGAAAACACAAGGACATGTGACATAAGCTGTCTCTGACCTCTACCGAACATGCACCTTGATGCATCGCCTTGCCCTGCATGAAATCTGCAGCTCTCCACTCCCATCCACCTGCACTTCCTTTCCCCACTTCCTCCATCCCCTCCTGCTTCCATCTCTGCAAGATGAAAAGGATGTGGTAAAACATTATGCACCCTGCTGGACCGCACTCTCACCTCCTGTCCACATTTCTACTGTCTAGTACCTTTGTTCTATACCCAGGGTGTGTGTTCCCTGCTGGCTGGTTGACCAGCAGTAGCAGCAAAGGGTCCAAACGCAGGCACAAGTGACAGCACAAGTCGTTCTTATGGCTCTTACAGCCAGCAGAGGCTGCAGCTTTGCTGAGACAGGGTCCCCCTCTGTCGGCTGCAGAGGCAAACAGGGTGCTGGAAGGGTTTGGGGTACGTGGCAAGGTTGCTGGGCCTCCTCTTAGGAAGTGAGCTGAGGGGGTACATTCCTGGGGTGGTGGGCACACATGGAAGGCCTGACCTATGCCCCAGTGTGTCTGGCTTTCCAACAGGAGCCACAGGGCCAGGAAGTCATCAGTCTCATCTGTCATCTCCAGAGGGTCACCCACAACCTATGGAAGATGTGACCCTCTGAGTCCAAGGTATAGACAATCGGAAGACATCTCTAGTAAAGTGTGAGAGGGAATGCGTCCCCCAGGGTGTTCTCAAGCATAGGCCTGTGCCTGGGGTTCAGAGTGAGAAGCTGGCCGAGAAGGCTTTGTGTGTCCAGGGAGGGTTGGCAGGAGGATGCCCATCTGTCCAGGACCCTCTTCACCTGCATCTCCAAAAGGGCATCCACAGGAAACAGCAAGGAGAACAGGACAATCCCAGGTTTTAAATGTATGCCTCAAGGTTGTCACTCTCCTTGACCGACAACATTTCTGGGGGACAGGACAGGACAGAGCCACAGACCAGAACCAGCTTCTCCCCAAGGAAGCTTGGTGCCCAATCCCAACTTACTGGCTCTCATGTTGCCCCTGACATCCAGCAGGATGTCCCCTAGGCTATGGGTCCAGGAGACACCACTCTCGACATGGCAGTGGCACAGGGTGCACAGCCCCTGCCTAAACAGGGAACCTCAACTATACCCCCCCTTGCACCCCACAAGCTGTTAGACCAGGTCATGTTTCAAAGATGGGAAATAGGTCCATCTCTTTGGAGATGCAGAAGCACCTCAGCAGAAGCAAGCAGGAGCTGGCTTGTATGTCTCAAACAGGACTTCCACAGCTGCCTCAGTCCCAGGAAGGAGGTGCTGGGCCAGTGTCACTGGGCACACTCGCCCTACCCGAAGGTCCTTGGGTCCCAGTATGATCCTGGAGGGGCTCTCACAGGAAGGGTAGCTGTGATCTCTGCCCCACTGTCATCTGAGCACGGTCACTGCTCTGACTCACCATCCTGGATGCATTGCCAGCATTGTCCCTGCTTCAGCCCATGGCCACACTGACGCTCGCCCCATCTGCCGGCAACTGGGAGGCACAGAGACTCTGTTTCCATGATGAGACGCAGCGAGATCACACTGGGTCTCTGCAGAGCGTTGTTGCAGCCCCAGAGAAGTGTAGATTCCTGCACTGTGACTATCTCTCCTCTGTTTTGAAATAAAGAACACAGAATACCAACACCACAACTCATGGAGTGCAGCAAAATCAGTGTGGACAGGCAACTGTATGACACAGACCATGCACAGGGCAAAAGACAGATCTACAGCCAAGATACTAAACTTCTGCCTTAGGAGATTAGAAAACAAGAAACAAATTAAATCCAAAATCAGCAGAGAAGAGAAAAAAATAAAATTAGTCCAGAAATGAACCAAAATGAAAACAGAGTATCAAAGACAAATCAACCAAACAAAAATCCAGTTCTTTAAAAAAAAAAAAAAAAAAGTCAAAAACCTACCTGGAAATGACGGAGGTCACTGCTGCTGAAACTAAATATTCAAGAGGGCAATGAAGGGACGCTGTGCACAACTCCAGGCTCACACACTGGGACACACAGAGGGCCAGACCTGGCGACAGCTAGAAGCACCCACAGAGGCAGGCAGAGTCGCAGAAGCCTTTGCCTATGAAAGAAACCAAACCAATGAGCTATAACATCCTCAGCCACATAGACCAGAGCCTGACGAATTCTCAGGTGGATCCAACTAAACAACTGAGGAAAAAAAGACTCCAAATCTTTAGAAACTCTTCCAGAAAACAAAAGCAAAGGGATTCTAATTCATGCTGAGTAAGGATCACCCCAACACCCCAAAATAGACAAAATGTCAGAAGGAAAATGAAACAACACAAATTCTATTCCAGGCAAATGTAAAAATCCTCTACAAATATTAGCAGTGTGAAAAGGAACTTAAGCACCATGAGTGAGGGGCATTCTAGGTACGTAAAGCCAGATCAACTTTTTAAAACCCATCAATGTAACCCACAGGCTACAAAGAAAAATCATGTGGTGCTGCCATAGGTACAGATAGGGCAGTCGACAAACCCTACCACCCTCCTCACTCCTGATAAGACTCAATAAGCAGGAGCAGAAAGGACACTCCTGTGAGCAGTCACACCTGTCTCCTACAACAACTACAGATTCGTGGCCCTGTCTGACCATCACTCCCAGAAGGCCCGTCCCCCCAGCAGGGACCTGTGGCCTAGGCTGGTGGTTCCCAGCAGGGCCCATCATGAAGGCTGCCTCCATGAGTGCAGCTCCTGATGTCTCAGAAGGGCCAGGCCTGGCAGGATTCTGCTCCTTTCACCAGGAATAATGTGCTCAATGTGCAAAAGTGTAAAACCTTCACACAGGCCAGGAACAGAGACATGGCAGGATCTCTCTCATATGTGACAGCTAAGAAGACCAACTCCACAGTAGGAGAGAAGCACAGTGGTCACTAGAGGCAAGGAGGGGCCACAGGGAAGGGACAGCAGGCACCAAATACAAATACAATACAGGAATCCCAGCATCCTCGGGTTTGCAACAGTTTCTTACACATTCTACAAAGAGCAAGAGAGGAGGCCAAGCCCATCCCCCACCAAAAAAAAAAAAAAAAAAAGACCTATGTTTGCGGAGAGGGGAAACACTCACTATCCTGACTGCATCCTTGGGTGAATTAATAAATATGTACATTTAGTGATAAAACAAGTCATGAAAAATGTACTTCCAGAATTTTATCTCAATAGGAAGGCAGCAGATTTCCTCAAGTGTGGCGATGTGAGGCTGGGAAGGAACCCCTTTGCCCTGCTGAAGCCCAGAGAGGAGCAGCAGGGTAGGGTACAGAGCAGGCCCAGCTCACCTGGAGGGTGAGGCAGCTGCAGGATCGTGATGCTTGGGGAGCTGGGACAAGGCCTGGGCCTGGGCTCACAGCCTGATACCATGGCACTGCTCAGAGCTGGTCACAGTGTCCCTACAGGAGGAGGACCACTTGGTCACCAGGAGTCAGCCATGGTGGGACAGAAATGTAGGGCTGGGGGCCCACATTCACACCTGGCTTCATAAACAATCACATCTCCTTTTCACTTAAAAATTATGAGTTTGATTCCCACATCAAAATGTGCAGGCACCCTAAGTAAACAGTGCCACACCTTTCCCACCCCACCCCATAGTCCACACACCCAGGTCCAGAAATGCACACTCTCAGGCACCCCAGAACGGCTATCTACCCTCCTGGTCTCTGCCCCTTCCCTGAGGGGATGCCTCCTGAGACTCTCTACAGTTCCCACACAGGGCGCCTGAGCCCATGCCCTTGGGGGGGGGTCTTTTCCCTGTCCAACAGTGTCCCCAAGAGCACCGTCCCACGTGCTTGCTGCATCCTTAACCCACTTTCAAGGCCACAACCATCTGTGAGCCTGGGGACCTCTGTGTGTGCAAGCTGGATGTGCCTTTCTCCTGGAGGACACAGCTTGGAGGGGACCACTAGGTGATGGTCATGCAGTCTACAACTTTACACACAGCCCACATCTCCCCCAGACACTGCATTCTTTTTTTTTTTTTTTTTTTTTTTGGTGGAACAGAGGATTGAACTCAGGCCCTTGCGCTTGCCAGGCAAGCACTTATTCTACTGAGCTATCTCCCTGGCCCCATGTATTCATTTTTTATGGCTACTCACAGGGTCTGCACACACATACACACAAGCGGACGTGCACGCACACCGCTTCCCATCAGTTTTTCAATGAAGTTTGTAAAGCTTATTTACCTTATTTCGAGTAAAGCAAACACACACAGCCCATAGGTGCACATTTCAGGGACACTGGGACTGCTCACCCGGCTGGGAACACCACCCTCACCTATCACCAGGTCTTTGGTCCTTTGACTCTCAAAGCATTGGACAGTGAATCCCACAGGGGCTGTGAATTCCACAGGGGGCTGTCCCCTCCTGGGCACCTGCCACGGAGGCCTCCTAGGAGGCAGAAATACAGCCAAAAGTTTCCAGAGCACTATCCAGCCCCTCGAAGGCACATGCCACCCTGGGGGCCACCGGAGACACAGGGCCTCGCTCCCGGGAGCTCTGCCCCGCAGCCCCTCCACCCACCCCGCTCCCCCGGCCAGACCCAGAGCCCGAGGATACCGAATCCACAAGTCTCCTTGCGGGATAGCGCCCGCCACAGCATGGGCCCTGACCCCAATCTAGGTGAGGGGCAGCTCCCCTCGCCCTCCTTGGTCGATGTCAGGGCTTGGGCAGTTGAAACCAGGTCCCTGGCTGCGCACCGGTTCCGCGCACGTTGCTGCCGCCCCGCCTCGAGGCGCGACGGTTAGGATCCCCAGCTGCCGTTACTGTCTTTAGCCGCCGGAGCTCGAGACGCGACAGTGAGGAGGGGGGCAGGGCAGGGGCGGGGAAGCCGCGGAGGTCAGCCCCAAACCCGCCCCAGCGTTCCCTCTGCCGGGACGGCTCTCCGGACTCCGAGGTTGCACAAACCGAATGCCAACACGTTTGTTTCCACGCAGAGCCCCAAACCCCACAACCGCGCCCCTTCACCGGTCGCAGACCTCGAGGCCGGGGATACGGGGGTCATACCAACCTTCCCCGCCAAGCTGCGGCTCCATGTCCGGCTTCGGGGCGGGGGCTCCTGACCCCGGTGCCCTTGCCCGCGCAGACCGGCTCACTGTCTGCGGCCGCGGAGCTCGGCCCGGGTTCCCATCCCGGGACACAGCGGTCCCCAACAGCCTGGCGGCCCCACGTGAAAAACCAAGCTTGTGGGGCGGGGCTCAGATAAGATGGGTGGAGCTTGGGTGGAGGGGCGGGGCTTGGAGGGAAAGGTTTCGGGTGCCTGTTCTTGGGAGGATTTGGAAGGGCGGGGATTAGTTGTGTGGGCGGGGCTCAAAGGGGACAGAGGCGAGGCTGCTTTTTAGACCCGGCTCCCCGACCAAGTTGAAGTAGGGCGGGATGACCCCGGGCCTCTCTTTGGCTCTACCCCTCCTGGCCCCTGCCCTTTCCTTCAGCTCCTTGACTGTCCACTTTGGCTAAGCTGTCACGGCTGTAGCAGTGAATAGGACCTGTCACAGCTATGGGAGGTGGAAAGACGGACAGCAAGCCACTCTTGCTGAGCCGGCTGATTGCTGTTCTGGAGGCTTGTGAAGAATAAGGGCCACTGCTAAGATTAGGAAGCCCTTCGTTAGGCAGCAGTAGCTCACTGGTACTGTACATGTCGCTCTAGGGCACACGATGGCCTGGACATTTCATAGCATCTCTCCTTGCAGTGGCAGTGAGATAACTAAAAACACAAGCAAACATCTGGAGGACAGTGCACAACTCACCAAGGGAAAGACAAGCCCAACACCTCTCTAACAATCACAGACTTCGAATCATTCATGAAATGCGCTTTTCCACCTGCTGAACCAGTGAAGATAAATAGACATGTGGTGATATTATGTGTTACAAAGAATGGAGGGAACAAGCTTCATATCTAGCTACTGGGTATGCACATTGGAAAATGCACAGGAAGTTACTTTAGTGCAGCTAGCAAAACTGACTATAGGGCACATCTTTTTGCCCAGTAACTCTACATCTTAACACCTTCCCTAGAGATGCTGGCCTCACGGCCATGTATTCAGCCATGTAAGGCAGAATATATGGGCTTTGAGGGGATATTTACCATCCAAATCCTAGCAGTTCCCAGGGAGCCGTACTCAGGGTGGTTCCCATCAATACTTTTTTCAAAAAAAAAACACAGAATCTCTCTTTGTAGTCCAGACTGGCCTCTTAACTCAAGGTGATCCTCCTGCCTCAGCCTCCTGAGTGCTGGGGTTGCAGGTGTAAACCACCGCACCTGGCAACAGTTCACTATAGAAAGAATCTGAAACAACCTGTGCACCAACAAGAGGGGATGAACAGCAAGAGCAGCTGTGCGGTGGAATTGAGCCCACAGCCACCCATAGAAATGCAAGACTCTGGGTATGGCCAAGGATGACCTCAGCCTGGCAAAACTTTAAAAGGACACACGAAATCATGTTTGTTTGTTTGTTTGTTTTTATACTTCCTGGTGTTTGTCAGGAAGTATCAAAATCGGAAGCTTATTAAGGTAGTTGCCTCTGAGAAAGGATGGGAAGGGACAGAAAACAGAAGCTAAATGAGATTAATAGTTGTAGTTTTTTTGTGTTTTAGAAAAAAAGTGCAAAACACTGTTGCAGGAAAACTGAGTCAACAGTATCCAGGAGTTCAGAAGAAGAAATTTTATTTAATGCTATTTGTGCCCAGAAAAAAATAATCTCTAAAGTCTGGGGCACTGATTACGAAAAGTTTGTCTTTTTATAGAGTAGCAAGCAGAAGTAGCAAAAGCTAAGCATAGCTGAAGGCCGGTACAATGGGGCATCTTGTGGTGAGCACAGCTGTATGTAGCAAAGTTGTTTTCAGCACATTCACAGAAGTTTTAATTTAATCATGTGATTTAGCCGAGTTTAATGGCAGAGAATGGAATGGCTGCAGCACTGTTGGACAAAATGGCTATGGTTAGGTCAAAATTTCTGTTTTCACATTAAAAAACGAATCTTAGGAGCTATGAGAAAGGGCAAACAACTGCCCCTAGTAGGGATAGGAAGGGGGGAGTCTGTTATGTTATGCTTTGGCATTTTTCTGTTAAATTTGTTCCTTATGGAAAATAACATTTATGAAATTTTTCCTTGTGAATGAAAATATTTTTCTTACAGAGCTGTAATTTTTTCTTAGGAAAACTTTTCTTATGATGACATGAGGTTTTTTAGTAAAAATTTTGTCTTTTGACACTTCGTTGGCTTTTTTTTTTTTTTTTCTTTCCTTCTGGGCTCAGGCTGAAATTTTCTTTCTCCAGGGCTCATGTACTCCTCCTGCCTTTCAGCACCTGGCAGCTGGGACTGCAGATACACACCATGCCTGGCCTGCAGTTGTAACATAAATGATCCTCCGGGGGGCTGACCACTCCAAGGGAGCCAAGGGGTGAGTGCCTTTCAGCAGGGACAGTCTGTGTCCTCACTCTCCAGCTCTGTGTCTCCCGCATCCCTTCGCTCTCAGCTTCCACCTCCCACGCCAGAGTAGTGGCTGCTGAGGTTTACCTTGCTGCAGGGCTCTGGGCCCCTCTGTGGCCTCCCTCTTCCACATGCCATAGCCTGGCAGCAGCACCAAAATGCTCACATCACCCAAGACTCCTACCCCCTTCTTCCCTGTAAGGAAACACACACCGATGAGCATTTTTGAGGGTTACCATTCTGCTGGCAATTCCTACTTCCCATGTCCAACAATGACACCCCAGGTTGTGGGCAGTCACATTGCCCAAAGTCATACACCGAGGCCCAATGCCATTATGTTTGGAGACAGAGTCCTTAATGAGGTCACTAAGGTTAAGTGACATCACAAAGGTCAGACTTAAGTCAGACTTAATCCAACAGGACCACCTGTCTGTGTTTTATAGCAGCACAAAGGGATGAGTTTGAGGACAGCAAGAAGACAGTAGTCTTCAGGCCAGGGAAGGAGTCTGAGGAAGCCCCTGATGGCGCCTTATGCCCCCAGATGGTAATACATGTCCTCGGGTGCAGCACCATGAGCTATGAGGGGCGGGGAAAGGTCAGGGCTATGCTCACCCCACGGATGGGCCACATGAGTTTATGTGGTCATTAGTTCTTACACAATTCTACCCAGAATCCCATTGTTACCCATAGAAGGAAGTGACCTTAAGCATTGAGGCTCAACCACCGGCTATGGACATCGCTGTTTGGAAGAGTTAAAATTATAGGTGTTGGAAATAGATCCTATAATTAAGGTTTTTCTGTTTAAAGAGGAAACCTTCTAGCAATAGAATTAAAAATGCATATAATGGTGTGCGTATGATATATTAACATGTACAATGTCATACATTTCTAAAGTTGAAATGCCAACACTGTCACAGTCCTGGAGCACAAAGAACCAGGGACAGGCAAGGAGGACAGTCAAGACAAATGATAAGGACTGGAAGCTGACATGGAAGCCTAAGAAGGGACACTCACAGGCCATGGAGTGAAAAGCAAGCATCCTGGAAGCAGTTAATGACAGATATGACTCCACCTGGATCCTTGTCCATAGGTCACTAAAGGCTTGAAATGATGCAGATGCTTCCTCTTGGTGTCAGTGATGTGAGTTATTTGCTTAGAAAACCTCAGTGTCCCTGTCCTAATTACAGTGACTTCCAGATCAACAGGCTCTGTATCAATGTGACTTCTTGCCTGAGTCACCGTCACCTTGGGGGATGGCAGGAGATGGTGCATCCAACCCATGCATCCAACCCAGTTAGCCCACGAGTCTGCAGAGAGAGCTGGGCCTCACTGACCACCAAGAGCCACCCTGGTGCCAACAGCCCTGACCCTTTCAGCTGCCCTGCCTGCTGCTCAGAATTCAATTCTCCCTCACAGCCAGCCCAGCTGGGCGGGGGTCAGCGGGCCCACTAAAGACTCCCAGTGTAGATGAAGTGTCCAAGGGAGCTTCCGTGCAGCCTACCTGCATAGAGAGAAAGGACTCTGATGGAGCCTGGGCAGGGTGCCGAGGACAGCTAAGGTGCCACACTTCACACAGGCTCTTTGGACCCTGAAGCCCCTAAGGCAGATCCCGTGATGTGACACCACAAGGACTGTCACCAGCCCTCCTAAAGTTTAATATGCATATGGCCAGGAATTGTCACCAGTAATGAGCAGGGGAACATGCCCCTATCTCCTCCTCTGTAAGGGCTGGCTGGTAGAATGGCCTCTGGATCCAGCACCTCTGGGTTCTTTTCATCTCCTGTGCCTGTGGCTCTTCTCCTGGGTGCCCCCTCCTGTCCATGAGATGCTTGATTCCAACGCCCTGCGCAGACTCCCTGCTGGCCCCCATTATAGCCCAAAGCCACACATGGCCAACTTAGCTTAGCAGTGCCTTGATGTCCGCTCCCTTTCAGGACTGCATCGTTGCCACAGTAACAGATGCAGAGCCCCGCACCCACTCCAATCATGCGGCATCCCTCCCCAGGCCACTGCAGCCACGTGCACACTGGCAGGCCATGCACTCCTGGCACTGAGTGGCCTCACAGAGGCCACAGGCTATGTGTGCAGTGCTCAGCAGAGATCTTGCATTCTTTGTTTTGACAGTGCCCCAAGGCCCAGGTTCCCAAATGACACTGTCCAGGCCTGGACATCAGAGACATCTATTCCAGCCCACTGCAGCCCAAGAGGCTGCCTACTGAGTGCACTACTCACCCTCCCACCTGGGTTCTGCTCTGAAAATAGAACCTGATCCACAGCACCAGCATGCTGCAAACCCAGACCAAGCATCCACATACTGTGCAGGCTGTGGCCCTGCCCCAGTAGGCATCCCTGCCTGAACCCCGCCCAGATCTGACCCTTGTCCATCTCCATGAGGGTTTTCTGTCACTGAACCCTAAGTCTTGTCCCGGTCAGAATGACCTTGGCTGGTTCCGCCCAGGACTGTTCCTTCTTCTGCCCATGCCCACTGGCCACACTAGCACTCGGGAGCCCCAGGATCCAAGGGGACAAGGCTCAGGAAGCAATGGGGCTGTGCTTGGGGACAGAGCTGAGGCTACACACCAGAAACACAGGCACTGCGGTCTTGGGGAGGGAAGGAAGCATGCTCAGGAGGGTCAAGTTGTAGCGGTTCTCACACTTCCCTAACAAGTGTGCGTGTGTGTGCACATGTGTATGTGTGTGTGCACATAGGAAGCATGGCTGTGGCCATGTGGTCAGCTGGTCCACATGTGGTGAAAGTGCATTTATGTGTTTGCATATGCATGGACATGAATAAGCATGCATGTAAGAATCCTGGAAGCCAGCTGGCCCTGCTCCACCTATACCAAGGGTCCTCTGGGAAGGAAAATTTGCCTGGCAGGAAAAGATATGAGAGACAGATGACACAGGGTCCCTGAGATCACTCAGCTGAAATATGCACAGTTCATGAACCCAAGAACACCTGGAATCCACATGGCCATCCCTTCTGGCCAACTGAAGGGAACCAAGTCATTTCATGTGGCTGCTGCAATCATTCCTTAAGACTGCGTGGCCTGAACAGTGGCATTCTGGAGGTCTGAGGTCAGGACTGACCTCCCTGGGGAACTTCAGGTGTGAAGTAGGAACTGAACCTCCAAGGAAGAGCCATCTCTGCCTCTGCAGCCTTCAGAGGCACCTCTGCTCCATCACTTGTGGTTCTGCTCCAAGGACAGCCCTGTGCCTCTCCCTGACCTATTGTCCTTATATTGCCTGGCTTCCTCCCTCGGAACCTCTGAGGACACCCAGACATCTGCTAATCCACTCCATGAAGTCTCCTCCATGGGCTCCTTGAGGGCTCTTCCTGCACTCAGGCTCACACCTATCCAGGATCCTTAGCAGGAGGACAAGACAAGCCAGGAGAGTGTACTTCCCAGATTGTCTCCAATCCAATAGACAAGTTGCCTATTCAGTCCCCTACCTGTGTCCCAAGAATTGGTGAGAACTAGACTTAGAGGTCAAAATCATTTGTACCTAAGCAAACTGTCATTTGTAATAACTCAAAGCTGACCTGATAAGGTTCTGTTAAATCATACGGCTTGTCTATATAACTATAGCTTTCAAGTGCCTTAAATTATGCCGGCATCCAGATGCCCGTGTATATGTACATGCATGTGCTGTGCTCCAGGCCTGTCTAGAAGATGCATCACCTACAGCCAAAACCTATGTTAATTCAAAATGGCAGCATAAAATGTCAGGTCATACAGAAGCAGCACAGACGCTGGCCAACAGCAGCTGCCCTCAACCTCAGCCTTGGTGAGAAGACTATCTTGGATATAAGCAGAGAGTGATTCTTGGAGCAGTTAGACTGCAGCATGTGGCCAAGTCCTAAAAGGTGAATGAGAACTTTGGAGAACTGATTATTATTCCCCTAACTCAAAAGCAGCACAAAACCTAACTAAACCTCTCCATGATTTTGATCTTATTTTCTTCAGGCTCAGTTAAAGTCTGCTTCACAGCTGCTGACATCCATTTGATGCATAACTTAGATGTTGTTTTATGCCCACAAGCTTTTAGAAGAGAGGGGTCTGGGGTGTGAGCATCAGCCAAGAGCAGAGCCCTTAACAAACACAGGCAGGAAGGGCTGAGGTGGCGCCACAAGCCAGCGGCCAGGTACCAGGAATGGCAAGATCTTGAAAGGTGACTCATTTTAGATTTTGTTTTCTCCCTTCTCAAATCACTACCATGCTGCTAGCCAGGTTGTCTCTTAAGAAGGAGGAGATGCATGAGGAAGCAGGTACTCTGGGGAAATGGAATAAAGGAAGATGTGCCCAAGGTCAGGAGTGGTAGAACAGGAGGTGTCCCAAGCTGACTGTGGTCCTTTCTACCTAGCAAGCCTTTCTACATAGCAAGGCTGAATCAATAGGACAGACAGATCCCTGAGTTCGCAGAGCTGGCAGTGAGAACACACAACCCACTCCCGTATGTCTCAAAGCAGAGCTCCACGTGCCACCCTCAAAACCTGGGGGAACAGGCACCTTTGCCATTGCTAGCAAGATAAGTGCTTTGTACAGTGGGAAACCATGCTGCAGAATGAGCCAAAAATCCATCTGTCTAAAGTAAGGACTAAGCCACGGTTTCTTCTTTCAAGACTTCTGAACTTCCTAAACTATGCCTGCCTCACATTCACATTTCCTAGGGAAAACACTCCATTGAAATACCAGATCCTTAATTTTAACAGAATCTTTGAGGTGAGAAATGCATCCTTTGATTTACAAATTAGATGTTTGTGTTTGTAAAAACCACTTGGCCAATTTTCATTGGAGAAGAAACCTAAGCAGGCCTTATGTCTAGCTTTCTGAGTTCATCTCATTGTAAGTAGAAGGCAATAACAGGCCTATTTTAAATAGCTTGCCCTGAAGTCAGGGAATTCTTCCTCTCATTTGAATTTGAGGTTTACAAGTTCTGAGTTACTGACCCTGGGTCTCCCAAAGCAGAAGTCGAGGCTGTGTGTGGGTTGGTGTCCACGGTGGTGGTGAGAACAGGGACCTTCATGTTCTGTGTTCACAGCCAGAGTTGCAGGTAGAAGAAAGCAGGAAACAGAGCAAGACAGTGTTTTGTGACAGTGGGGCAGACAGTGTAGACGTGGGGAAAACAGAGGAGCCAAGAGCAAGCGTTCCCTGCCAAGGGCCAGGAAGCTTCATGGACAGATGCGTGGGCCCCAAGAACCCTGGCCACACCACGGCTGCACAGGCCCCAGCGCAGGCAGCATGGCATAACTGGGGAAAGAAACAGCAGAAGACCAGGACATAGCAAATGTACCTACAACATGAGGCCACTGTCAGGGACCTGCTTTTCATTCTGAAGGCTGTAGAGTGTGTTCACTACCTTCTGTTGCTGAAACACAATCCCTAGCACTCACAACATAGAAGAGGTTTATCTGGCCCATAGTTTCCAAGGGGTTCAGTCCATGGCTGGCTCCAACGCAGAAGGCACAGAGGAAAGACCTGGTGGAGGACAGCTTCTCCCCTCCTGGCCGCTGGGTGGCAGAGAGAGAAGGGGAACACTAGGGACAAGAATACAACCTTCCAAGTCACACCCCAGGGCATACTTCCAACCAACCCCCACCTCCTAACTGCACATTTGAACTCATTACAGAGGAATCCACCCTGGTACATAGACAGACCCAGATGTTGGGAGGCCCCAACGAGTGGCTACCTAGGGAGACAGACACTGCAAAGGCTTCACAGAAGGCAGAAGTATTGTCCTTTCACCCTAGGAGTTGAAGGGCAGAGACAGCTTAGAAGAAGGTAGGGATGGCATGGGCTGGCAGGTGGCAGCACCCAGGCTGTTCCCAAGAACACAGATGCCTGAGTGGAGTCTGGAAGCCACCCATGATCGCAGGGTTAGGCAAAGATATGGATGGTCCAGTGGGGGGCCCAGGTATGGATGGAAGGTGAATCTCATGGGTCACATTGTGTCCTGGGCCTCTGATCCAGTCCTTGTCCTTGTCCTCCCAACCTGAACAGCTTACAGCTACTGACCAAGAGCCTCGGTTGTGAGGATTCAGGAAGCCCTTGCTCTAGGCCAGGAGGAGCTACACCAAACCCAGCCCTCCACAGCAGGGTGAGGGTAAACCTTGGAAAATCTCCCAGAAGGAAGGTGGGACCCCAATGTGCAGCATTTGCCACTTTCCCTTCTATGAAGACTCTTCCATGATCCCAATATCATCTGGGTCATAAAATTTCTGAAAATGTCATAGTGGCAAGAACTGCATTTAACTATCAGCTGACAGGAGCCAATACAAAGTAGCTCAATAGGGTACAGTCCCAGGTCACAGTGCAGAGTAGGCCCCAGGGACAGGCAGCAGAAGCCATGTGAGCCAATGTCAGCACAGGGAGCTTTATTGAGGGTCAGAGTGGTGACAGAGCCAGAGTATAGAGCAGCCTCCAGAAGGGACAACTTGGAAGCCACCCCAGCACCTGCTGTGGCCACAAGCCCAGAACATCCCACCTCCGAGTCAGTCTTCCCACTCATGCCCCTCAAGCCCTCTGCCCAGAGCCCACGTCTTGGGCCAGCATCCCCAACTGCTAAGACAAGAGCTCTGCAGGGACATCGGAGGGTGGGCTCAGACCCCTACACTATTCTGCCCTGCCCCACAGGAGAGGCACACCAGGAGTGCTCAGGGACCTGCAGGGCACTGTACCCCAGAAAGCTAGGACTTGCAGTCAGCAGAGTGGGAGCGCGATGAGCAGGATAGGGTCTGGGGTCCAGGGGGTCTTCCTCAGAGCAAGGAGCCCAGCAAGACCATGTGAGCTGGGACTCCTTTGGGCAGGGAGGGGCATTTTCTTAGCCTCTGCCCTGTGGGGGCTGCACAGGGGCCCAGCAGAACCCCAGCAAGGAGCAGGCTGGTCTTCCCCACCCCATGTATCCCCTGAAGAGCAATTGAAGAGTCCCCTGGGACTCTGACCTTAAACATATGGCCTCGGCCCACACCCTTCCCGGCACTAGGGCCTGGCATGGTGGGCCTCTCCCACCACAGCACCCAAGGACAGGGACAATGGGACTACAGGGCCTCAAATCATCACATTTGGTCCCTGAAGCGTCCAGTACTCATCACAGTGGAGGAGCAGTGCTAAGCCGCGTCTCTGTGCAGGTTGCTTCGCAGAGTGGCAGCCATCAGCTGGAGATACCTCTCCCATTGGAACAGATGTCCTTATTCCACACCTCCATCACTCGCGCTTTTCAACCTCATTTTCTCTGGACTGAAGAACCCCCAGGCCAGGGTCACTACTGTGTCTGGACACTGGGACTGGGCACCTCGTGATGGTTACATCTGTGCCATGGGGACTAGGCCACCACCACATGAGCACCCAGGCTGGCCACCTGGTTTCGATTCTTCTGGGAACAGGCGTCTGACAGGGGCAGTGTCCACTGCAGCATCATGTCACTGCCTCAGGACAGTGGGGCACAGGCCAGGTGAGTAGAGTCTGAAGTGGCCCCACTCACACTGCCATGCTGGTACACAGCCCAATGCAGTCACTCAGCACCCCACCCAGGGACACAGGCCTGGGCATTCTGCCAGCATTTTGAAATCTGTGAGTCGTTCATTTTTCATGCACCGAGATTAAAGAACCACTGTTTTGTTCCACTGAGCTCTGCCGGTAGCTCATCACACCTGTGGGGACTGGGTCTCCAAACCAGCATTGCAGTGGGGCAGTGAGGTAGATGGCCAGCCCAGGTCATGCCTTACACAGCCCCTACCGCAAGTCACATGATGCCTTCCAGACACAAGCACCCTAATCAGCACCAAGCTTCTGCTTGCCAAGGCATCTATGCAGTACTCTTTAAGCCCACACACAATTTACTCTTATTTGCCACCCCTCAAAAAGATATTTGAAGTAGTTTAAATATAAACACACCTACAAAAAGACAGTAAAAAGTAAAATTAGAGTCATATAGGTGGAAGTAGCAACTACCCTGAACATGAAGTAATACAGTTAAGAAAACCGAGCAATAAATGTGCTCTGAGAGTACTGGCAGTAAAGGTGGAAAGAGAAAGTTCCTGTTGCCAAGGAAAAACAGCATCTAGTGGGTTAGCCGGGAAAGGCCACACACTGGTCCTCCCATCCTCGGAAAAGGGCCATTTCAGATTTTGGTGTACACGAGATCAAGGCACAGCAGTGATCAAGTCCGGGCCTTCCTTCCGCCGAGCAGGCATGACCAGAGCGTGGAAACAGGCAGGGCCACGTGTGTCAGGACCTTTCTCTGGTTTTCTCCATGTTTTCCCCTTTAGTGGACTCAAACATCAGTGCCAAAATCACTCAAGTATTCTGAGGGCCAAGTTCAGAGTAAGCTCCACTCTCCCTTCTCCCTGGGGAACCAGATCCCCAGGACATTGATCTGGGAAGGGGGCTCACACCTCCATGCCAGGGGTCTTAGATTTACACAAAGATGAGCCCCTCCTTGTGTATCTGTGTTCCAAATGCAGCCCTGCATGCAGCTGGCAGGGTGGAAGGGATACAGAATATCACCACAAGTGCCTCAAGTTCCTGTCCAGTTCCTGTCCAGCCTGACCGTGTGGTCACGAGAGTCCCTAATTCTCCAAACCTCAGTTTCCTCCCCCATCAAGTGGCCAAGGGCAGTACATGAAGAACTTGCTGGGCTACAGCTCTGTACCAAAACTGCCATCACACCCATCTCCCTGGGGACATCAAAAGTACACATTAGTCTCTACCTTCCAGGAAGTCCACGGCAGCTGGAGGACGATGGCCTGCTGGCCATAAGCACTATGGTACTGGGCTGCCGAGATCCTTGGGGACTGGGGCGCTAGGCAGGGACTTCAGGTACTCCAGATGTCTCCGGGCATCCTCCTGGTTGTGCCGCACATAGTACACAATGTAGGCAACCACCATGGTGAACCAGCCGAACATGGTGACCAGCATGGCTACATCTGTGGTCTTGTGATGAGTGCTGCAGAGGCTGACCCCTGAGTCTAGCACCTGGATCAGCGGCTGGCCAACGAACTCCTCCTGCACGGAGGTGTGGCAAGCCATCTCATCTACTGAGTCAGGGTCCAGTTTCAGCTCCCAGAGCGCCTCCTGCAGGGCGCACTCACAGTGCAGTGGGTTGTGGGACAGGCGGATCTTGGCACTCAGTTTGCTCAGGGAATCCTTGGGAATCCTCCTGATGCGATTGTGTGACAGGTCTAGCAGCCGCAGGCCACCAGCCAGGCCAGAAAAGGCAGCAGGGCTGATGGTCTCCACAGCATTGTGGGACAAGTCCAGTTCCCGCAGCTGGTGCAGGTGCTGAAAGGCGCCGTCAGGGATGCGGGAGATTCTGTTAGCGTCCAGCTTCAGGAGCACAGTGTCAGCAGGGATGTCCCCAGGGACCTCCTGCAGGCCACTGTCACTGCAGTGCACGGCCACGGGCCCTGCATGGTCAGGGCACTTGCAGGCCTGCGGGCAGGAGGCACCCAGGCGCAAACAGAGAAAGAGGAAGAGCCAAGGGTGCTGGGCAGTGGTCAGTGGGAGCCTGGGACTCTGCATGCCCCTAGGATTCATCCTGCTTGGCTGGGACAGGTACCTCCTCTGGGCTCTGGCTGAGCCCCACAGAGCAGCGGTCACCCAAAGCAGGCACGAACTCCTTCTTCACATGTCCGCAGAAGCTGTGCACTTGACTCTAAAGCAGAGAACAGAAGAGCAAGGCAGGGCGGGGAGAGGCGACAAGCGTGCCGTCATCTAGCCTGGGGCGCTCAGAGGAGGCACTAGGGCAAAGGTCGAGCACCCTGGACCTACCTGTCTGTCCCTTGCTCCCGGAGACGCCTACAGCCACCCTGATGAGCGCTGGCAACAGCGGGGTCAGCAGACACTGGCCGCAGCTGGGCAGGCCTTGTCACAAGCAACCGAGACCCACGCCCCGGCTCCCAGTGGCGACTCCGCGTGGCAACCTGGGATGCGCGGGCTGCTTCCCAGTCGGTAGAGCAGGTGGGGCCGGGCGGTAGCCAGGCGATCGTGGGGAAGAGGGGGTGTGACCTGCCTATCGCTTGGCACCCGGACCACAACCCCTTAAAAATCGCAAGCAGGAATGAAGGCGCGCGGAGAAAGGAGTGGAGCTGGCTGGGCGTGCAGCCAGGGCGGGGCCAGGCCAGGCCGTGCGCTAAAGGGGCGGAGGGCGGTACCTGAGCCGCCGCGGGGCTCCAGGAGCCCGGTCGGACGACTGGCCACTCTAAACGCGCAGCGGAGACTGGGTGGTGTCCACCGCCCTCCGCGCAGGGGGCGGGGCAGGGCGCCGGTTGCAGGGCCCCGAGAACCCGCGAAGGGAGGGGCGGGGCCGCCTACAGGGCGGGGCCTTTTCATGGGGCGTGGCTTCTAGAGGGGCGGGGTCCACAGGAAGGGCTAGGGGTGACCCGCAGCGGATTGAGGGCCTGAGATGGAAAGGTGTGGGACGTGCGGAGGGCGAGGCTGTTGAAAAGGGGCCTGGGTTTAAAAGGCCTGTGTCTCACGAAGGGGCGGGGCGGGGCCGGCCAGCTTCCTTGAGAACCCGCACCCAGTTTAGCCTGAAGGCGGAGGCGGAGCCACGCGAGGGGGCGGGACTCCGGGAGGCGTGGGAGGGGTTGGCGCGGGGTTTTCCCACAGATGGAGCGCGGGCACCAGGCGGGACAAGCTCGCCGTGGGCGTGTTGTGGACTGCCCCTGAAGGCTGGGTGTGCATAGGCTCCTCCCACCCTGTTTGGGACTAGGACTGGGTCTGCAGATCTTTGATTTGTCGGAAGCTCTTTAGACCTGGTCCCTGGGGCCCCTCGGGCCAAAGGCCCTGCGTCCTGCACCCGCATGTCAGGGTCTGCAGAGGGCAGGGAAGTGAGGCAGGGAGTTGAAGCTGGATCTCAGCCCGTCCAGGGCTCTGTAAACAGCCTTGGTGGTGTCATGGATACACGGTAAACCACATAGTTAAATGTGGTCCGCGCTGACGTCTGCGTGCCCTGCGAAACCCTTGTCTCAGCCAATACAGGAGGCACCTCAAGTCCCCCCTCAGCCGCATGGTCTGCTTTTCGTCACCGCAGCCGGGTTTGTCTTTCTGTGACTTACTTACGTAAATGGACTTGTGCCTTCTCCAGCCTCTGCCCCCAGCACGGCTATTTTGAGATATAGGTCCTGCCTTCAGCAACCTCTCTGGGCGTATCATGGGTGGCTTCTGCTCCTGTCCACACTGGCTCCCTAGTGTTGGGGACCCGTCAGTACAACTGATGTGCCACGTGGATGAGTCTGGACAAACACTTGTTTTCTGGAGTAAACAGTCTGGGTGGAGGCACAGGACCAAGTGCTGCCAAAGTGGCTGCACAGCCTCACAGAGCCCTAGAGCCATCCTCACCAACACGGGTGTGGGCAATCTTTCACTCGGGACATTCTAGCAGGAGTAATGCGTATTAAATTGGTTTTGTTTGTTTGGTTTTGTTTTTGTTTTGTTGTTGTTGTTGTTGCCCTGGTGGCTAACGGCATTGGGCATCTTTTGTTTGTTTTGAGGCAGGGTCTCACTGTGTAGTCCAGGCTGGCCTTAAGCTATGTAAGCCAGGCTGACCTTCAACTCGCAGCAGTTCTCCTGCCTCAGCCTCTTAAGTGCAGGGATGTTACGCATGTGCCACCATGCCCAGTTTATCTGCTTACTTGCCAACCATCTGAGATTTGTTGAGACTCATTTATGGTCCAGATTATGGTTTATAACTGCTGTGTTCCCTTAATGTGCAATCTGTCACTCATTCTTCAAATGTTGTGAGGTCAAGGCTGCTAGTAGCTTCTACTATTACCAACTTCCTATCTACTTGACCTCCATTACTAAGGAGGCATTGAGGAGGTGACTAGGATCAAGGATTTTCAGATTCTCCTTCGGTCCTGGGCTGGAGGTGTAGCTCCATAGTACAGTGCCTGTCTGGTTTGTACTAGACCAGGAGCTCCATCCCCAGCACCAGAGAAAAGAAACATCATCAAAAATTTTGTACTTCTCTTGGAGTCCTACAAGTTTTTGCTTTGTACCTTTTGAAAATTGTATATTCAGATTACAAGGTATTGCTGATGAATCAAACTTGTTATCACTGTGAAACAGCCCTTTTTAACCCTCGATTCTTTTGCTTGAAATTCACTTTGTTCAATGTTAATATATCCCTTCCTGAGGTTAGTGAAGGATACCTCCTGCCACCTTTATTAAAGGTGTGTCTTTATTACCTAGTTATTTTTCTGGTCACTGGGACAAAATATCCATTGCCCACAATTTAGGAGAGGAGAGGATTATTACTCAGTCAATAAGAAGTTTCAGTTCATAGTCAGTTGGCTTCAAGGCAAGGTGACAGGGCAGAGGGGCCTGGCAGAGCAGAAACAGTCCATGACATGGCAGGCAGGAAGCAGCGTCATCAAAGGAAGAGGGACTGAACCACTGATGAGCATCGAACCCCAGGATCCAGCCACTTTTCAAAGCCCCACCTCTGAGCTCGTGAGGCTTTGGGGAGAAATTCAGATATGAACCATGACACCGAATCTCCTTCGGGATTTCCAGAGTGCCACAGTGTATTGTCTCTCTCCATATATTTATTAACTCCAAAGGAAAAGACAGTAACATCGCAGTAAAGAAAACACCTTGCCGTGTGACAGTGTTGGGGCCACCAAGGATTAAGCAAGTGGACAGCAACACCCTCACTGTGAGCAAAGAGGGAGGGCTTGTCTGGCTCCTGTGGTCACAGCTGAGAGAAGGCACAAAGGATAACCATGTCAAGAGACAGAGTAGAGTGACAAGCTGTGCCTTGCCCCTGAGAACTGAGAAGACCACTGGAGAAGGAAAAGTCTGAGTCACCACTGTGGGTTGCAAGAGACTGGAGAAGAGACAACTCAGAAAGAAGTACAACCCTGGGACGAAGGATATTAACAGGAAATCTGGTGAAACTGAGTATTAGTTACTTTTCTCAGTGCTGAGTCAAAATACATGATGCCTGGGGAAAGGTTTATTGACTCAGTCTGTGGAGTCCTTAACCAGCTGGCTCAAAGGCAGGGTGGTACAGAGCAGAGGGGCAGTAGTTCATGGTGGCAGAAGACAGTAAAAAGAACAAGAGACAGCAAGACAAATGTCTTTCTGACCTTTATATTGTATCCAGTCTATGAGGATTAGGGCAGTGCAAATCCAGTCAGTGGATGGGTCCAGCATTCACCCACCCTTAATCCTAGCACCCTAAAATCCAGCATTGCGCTACAAGTCAGTCACACCCTCTAGATTCAGACACCAACCAAACAACTGTATGAGTGCATGAGGCTTTGAAGGGGACATCTAGACAGAAACCATAACACTGAGTCAGGCCAGCAGTGAGGTTATATGTTTTGCCAGTGGTAGTGCCTGGCTGGTGGGATAGGCTGTCTGGTGGGACCGGACCATCTTCTTGCTGTCTTCCCATTTGTCCCATCTGTCCCATCTGGCCTTGGCTCACTGTCCTCTGGTCCTGCCTTTGCTTGGTGTCTATTCTGGTCTGGGTATATGATGTGAATGCCCGTGTTCAAAGCTTGTTCCCCAGCCCATGACACTGTGGGAAGAGTAGAGACTTCAGGAGCTGGGGCCTGGAGGGAGGAAGCTAGGGACTGGGGCCCATCTACTCCTCTCCCCTCTCCTCCCACTGGAGAAGTGGGCAGTTCTCCTGCTATCGTTGTCTGTGCTGTGGACTAGTGTGATTAAGGGGTCACCTCTCTGGACCCCTGTTCCCATTAGCTCTTAGCCAAGTTAACTTTTTCTCTTTATAAAGTCAGTTGCCTCCTGTATTTCATCTTGTAACATGAAGCCCGTAGATGCAATACTTTCACAATCTTGTTTTCTTACCTCTGCTGTGTTGTTTCTGGAGTTTTGTATGTAGCTGCAACCTGTCACATCCTCCTCCAGGTATGACCAGGCTTGGCATTGGTGTCAGAATATTCTTTGTGGTCCCCTTGGCCCACCTCACCAATGATGATGACTGAAGACCTAAGGGATCCTCTGTACACACAGACCTCCCATGTGTTTTCAGACCCATATACCACCCTGAGTAGTGATCATGCCCACTGCTCTGCCTGGCATCCAGCACCTGTCTTAGGATGCCATGCAGGTGCTGGGTAACTGCCCTCACACAGGATGTTCTGGCTGAGTTTGGTCTGAAAGCATCTCTGGGGACCAATGTGGAGGATAAAATCAGGCAAATGAATACACATTCTGGCACAGCTGGCACTGCCTGGCCCATGCCTGGGGAGACCACAGAGCAGCCTTGGACAGGCCCCTCCTGGCCCATAGGTTGTCTAGGCCGCACTGCTGCCCTGTTCCTGTCCTCACTGAAGTTCCCGCAAGCCTCCGTCCCAACCCCACACTGCCTCAGGCCTCAGAAGGAAGCTCAGCCTGGCAGTCATTTCCTTGGCACACAGCACAAAAGGGGCAGGCAAGGAGCCAAGGGAGCCCAGGCAGAGCTGCAGTAACGAGTGTGTGGCCTCTGAGCAGATCCGATCTCCTCAGGTTAGCCAAAGGGAGCCTCCCCTTCACTCCCGGAATTCCTGGATCTCTCAGAATCTTGGGTTCTGACCAAACTCAGAAGCCTGCACTGGAAATCAGAAGGCCCAGTGACAGTCCTCTTCTGGGCTGCTGTGCCACAAGCTCCCCCTCGGGCCCAGAACACCTCCTCCCTAATGTCCCTGTCACTCCCAAGGGACTGCTTCTCCATACATGGGTGAAGAAAAAAGTTTGGGAAGTCACAGCTCTGGGACATGCTTGGGGAGGCAGCAGTGGAGCTTGGTCCAGTGGAAGGCAGGTGTGGCTAGGCAGGGCTGGGGCACCAACCAGGGCCTGGGGTCTGATTGGGGGTAGGTGAGGCCCAGAGTCCCCAGAAAGTGTCACTGCCAGTAGGGCCTTGGGCACCGTCATCCTGTGGAGAGGTAGGGGGTGGGGCAGGTGGATATTGGGTCCCTGGAAGGCATAGGCAATACTGGCACAGATCTGGGGAAATGGAGGAGCCTGGGGAGCGGGGGGCTGGAGAAAGCCAAGTTTGGGCCTGTAGGTGTCAACAGAGGTGCTGCACAATGGGGAATACAGGAAGTCACCCACAAAAGCCTTATAGCCAAGCCCCTGAACTTTATTTGTGGACAGCGCTGGAGGAGCAGCCAGGCCAGCCTGAGATTAATAAGATTTAACATCTCAGCTTTACATCATTTCTGTCTGACAGCTCCCAATGGTTCCTGCTTCTATGAGTCACCCTATACAGATCAGGGGTCCCTGCTATCTCCCCACCCCACCCACCCACCCTTCTAGGCAGGGCTGGCCGCTCTATCTGTGTTTCTGCAGCCTGACAGCTGGGCAGTGAGCCAGGTCTCCCAAGATGTTCCCACACCAGCCAGGCCAGGGGCCATGCCAGGCCCCAGCACCTGAGGGTAAGTCAGGGGCAGCTCCCCAGATCCTCACGGCTCAGGCATGGAGACCCCACAGGACCCCCAGCTCTCCAGGAAGCTCCAGGGTAGACACCCTACTCAGGACCTCAGGACTGAGGAGGAGAGGACTGCAAGGCTGTGCAGGAGCCTGGATCCTCCCGATACCAGAAGTGCCAGCTGACACAGGTGGCCTCAGGAGGTGGCAGGTCCCTGAGCCACAGCACATGTCCAGGATAGCACATGTTTCAGGCAATAGGTGTCACCCTGATCAGAGAGTAGACAGGTCCCCCGGGGCCCAGCAGAGGTCATGGTCAGTAGTGGGCTCCAAACAGAATGGCTGTCTTCTGCAGGATGGTCTTGTGGTTCTCATACAGTGGGATGCGCTTGTCCACCACCTGCCACCGGATGGACACACCTAGGTCGCATGCATGTAGATGCTGCAGAGACAGAGGTGGCCGTCACTGTAACCCAAGTGCCCAGAAACTCAGGACACAGAGGACATGGGGACCCTGTGCTTGCCTCCATCCTGAGTGTAGCTGGATCACTCTGCAATATGGGAACAGGGAAGCCTGCTGGGGTACCCCTGGGATACCCCATGAGCCCTGAGACCCCAGGTCTTGGAACTGCACAGGACCTTTGCTTGAACCCTCTGCTGTACTCTGGTCTCTGGTATCCCTTGGCACCTTCTAGAAAAGACTGAACTCTACAGTCCCCAGTGTCTGGTCCTGGGCAGCTCTGGACCCAGGAGCCTGGCAGGCCCCTCTCCAGAAGCCCCTGAGGGCCACCCAGACCCTAACACCCCTTTAGATCCCTGCCCTGATGTCCAGCCTCTTACAGAGTTAAGCCTCTTCAACTCCACATCATTCTGGTCTGGAAAGTGGATGCTGATGGCCACCGTCTCAATCCACGCATTGTCAGTGTTCCGTGGATCATCCACATAACCTTTGTACACCTGCAGGGAGAGCAGGGGTAAGTTGGTCAGCAGTGGGCCCCAGAATATCCCAATTAACCACCAATGGGACTTGGGAGAAGGGCCTCCTGGAACTGGCTGTCCTTCCAGGCCTCCAAGGCCTCCAGGGCCTGAAAGCCTGGGGAGCCTGGAAAGCCATCTAAGTGGGACCCATACAGAGCACCATGCAAAGACAAGTGCTGCTCCAGAGCAAGAAGGCTACCAGCTGCCTGCTAAGGGACTGAGGCTTCCTCTGGGGGTGCTGGAAGCCCTGGAGGCAGTGAGAGGGCTGTGCAGAACTATGGGTGCTACACACCTCTGCAAGCTTGGCCTGCGTGCTGCTCAGTGAGGCTGCACTGGCCCAGCACAGGAGAGGCTCTGGGCTCCACCCCAGCACCACACCCGCACACATATGCATATACGCATATGCACAAAGTCAGCAGTACATTATGTGAATCTCACCTCAGTCAAGGTAAAACCCTTCTCAGTAGAGAACAAAGACAATGTTTGCATGCCCAAGGCCTTCCCAGGAGAAGCCAGACATTGTTAGGGTGCATGTCAAAGCCATCAGTTACCTGGGACAGTACACTCTGCACTGGACAACAGAAATGCCACCAGAAGACAGGAAAGGCAGCAGGGCTACCACAGCCTGACACAACAGGAAGTGAAGTTGGAAATCGTGAGCTAACACTATGAGGAAAGGCAGCTATGGGAGACACATGACTTAGAACCCTCTGTTTTTATTAGACGGCACTGCAGGACTGCATTAGGGACTCTGGAAACTGAGACTGGCAAAAAAAGATCCAGGCTTCTAAAGAAGGGATTTGGTGAACTGCCCAGGGCCAGGGCTGGGACAGCTGTCATCAGCAGGGCAAGTGTGATGGATTTCCCCAGCAGGGCTGTCAGGTCCCCCATCCTGGGTTCCTCCTGCTGGCTGCCCTCAAGACCCAGGGGAGCCGTGCCCCACCCCCAAGCCTCACCCACCTCCAAGCCCCGCTGCAGCAGACCCTCCATTTCTGGCCAGGCCTCTTGCAGCAAGACCTGCTTCAGCTTCCTTGGCAGCATCTCCCCTGGCTCCTGGGAGCCCTGCACAAAGGGGCAAAGGTTGGTCAGCAGGGTGTCCATGGCTCCCATGCCACCTGAACCATCTCTGCTAGCCATCAGCCTGGAGTGGGCAGCTGGTCAGCCAAAGCAGGCCATTACAATGGCCAGAACCCCATTCCCATCAGTGCCTGATCAGAGGAGCAGGGACAGTCCTGTGCCCCCTGCACCCATCTCTGGACTGAGGCCCTTCTTTGTCCTGGGTAGACACTGGGGCATCTCTCTGGGCCTGGCATTCACAGTCAGGCCTGAAATCCAGGGTGGCAGATCATTGTGATGTGTGCCCCTACAGAGAGAGCTGCTGGCTCATGGAGCTGAACTGAGGCTGGAGGACAAGGACTTCTTGCTGAGTTAGGTAGAGGACAGATTCCTTGGGAACCAGGCACAGGAGAGGTCACCAGGCGCCATGACCAGGCCTGACAGAACTCAGGGTAGGATGCACATCTCCCGCTGACTGCAGTGGAGGCAGGGGCAGAAAAGGCTTGGGTTTTTTGCCAGCCTCAGCTGCCCCCAGCCCCCAGGGAGACAAGGACTGCCCTGCCAGGTACACAGGCTGGGCAGGCAGGGGGGTGGGGGGACAGAGGACTCCTGAGGAACCAGGCTGCCTGTTGTAAACAGCTCAACCCCCCCCTGCACCCGTCTTACCCCTGGCAAGGCCCACAGCTCCGAGAGAGGCCGCTTCACCACCAGCACCTCCAGCATCTTCTTTATGCTTTTCCTGCAGATGGCACCATCCTGATTCCTCCTCCACCTGCAAACAGAGCTACTCAGGCCTGCTCCCGGGTGCGCAGGTGCACATGGTCACCCACTGCCACTGCCCAGGCAGCATCTAGATCCAGCCCTGCTCAGGGCCAGTATGGGGCCCCCTGCCAGTCCACCAACCCTCCCCCATCTATCCTGAAGATCTTGGCCTGGAAAATAATCAGGGACAGTTGCCATCTGCATCATGATCGCCCCCACCTCAGCAAACCACGGACTGGACGGACAGGAAAGGCCCAGGCATCCTGGAGATTTTTCATCAAAAGTCTTAAAACTTGCATGTCTGATTTAGTTCTTAACATGTGGGTCTCAAGCTACATTCCTTTTCCTACAAATGACTCGAGTTCATCCTTCTCTATGGCAGAGTAGTACTCCTGAGTATAAATACATTTTCTTTACCTACTCATTAAAATGAAAGATAGACAATAGGAAGCAGGGTCCTAGGAGTTTCACAAGTGGGCAGGGGATCGAGACAGAGGGGAAGCAGGGAAGGAGGAGAATAAAAACAATTAAAAATGTCTCAAGCACAAGTTCCACTCCCCAAGCATAGTACAGACACTATGTACTGCAGACACATACTGATACAAAATAAAATAAAAAGCCCTGAAAAGCTCTTGACTGACTCGGCTCTCCAGTCCCAGGTCATGGGAATGCCAGCATGAGTACCATTGGGCATCAGGCTTACGTGCAGCGGGGCTGGGCACTGTGGTCCTACCAGCACACACATGGGCCAATCCTGATCCCGAAGGCAGGCAGGGCTCAGGTCTGAGCATCATGGAGTTGTAAGCAAGACGAGGGCTGGGCCCAAAGGGGTGTAGGTGTGCATGTGTCGCAGAGTGCTTGCAGGTGTGTGCAGGTGGATGTGGATGGGGTATGTGTGTGTGTGTGTGTGTGTGTGTGTGTGTGTGTGTGTGTGTTTCTCCCCACAGGACAGTCCCCTAATATAAACATTAGCAGACCTCAGGTTTGCATTTGCATTTTCTTAATAGTTTTCATCAGTAGTGACCCCCCCCCCCTTGGTGACTGTCCTCCTAGCAGAGCTCTCAGGATCTCAGGAAACAAGAACAGGCTCCAGGGGAACAGGGTCATCCCTGCCCAGTTTCAGGGTGTCCACTGAGAACAACAGATCCTGGCCCCAACTTTCCCTCACAAGATACCAAACACCCAATACCATGGTTGTCTTCTGGCTCTCAGAGCACACAGGGTGCCTTGAAAGCACCTCTAGTGAATGTGTGGGTGACTGTGTCCCCAGGGTACTCACCGGGTGACCACAGGGTGCAGCATGTGGTTGGGCCCAAAGCAACTGAGGCTCCCGCGTCCACGCAGCCCTGTGCGGCCCATGGGGTTCCTAGGGTAGAGAGGACTGAGCTCAGCTGCCACCTATGCCAGGGACTCAGGGCTCCTACCCAAGGGGACAGGCTTCTCCCTCATGTAGGCTGAATCCAGGCTCCTGGTTAGTGGGGGGGGGGGGCACTGGGCAAGGGTAGGGGTCTCCGTGGGAGCAGAGTCTGGCCTCCCATTGGCCACTCCTTCCACCACAGAGCAGGGACCCTCTAGTGGCTCAACAGCCAACACAGGGGCCAGGTCCAGCTCTCAGTCCTCAGCAGCCGGTTCTCAGCCGCCTGTGCTGCCTGGCCCTGCCTCTCAGACCCCTCAGATGCTCCTTTTCCCCTGCCTCCCCTGTACCAACATCTCCACTCTAGCCTGGTGGGCCCTCCAGGCCTGGCACAGAAGCCATCTGACAGGTCACCCCAGAAGGTGGGACAGCACTACAGACCCCACAATTTCAGGTTTATCCCACTATCCCTTCCCCCGAAGGCCTCTCGCCTCATCTGTGCCCTTCTCTGTCTACAGCACAGAGGTCACTAGGCCTGGGGCCTCTGCCTGCCACCATTGTCTTCACCTTCCACCTGACTCAGGGACAGAGGGTCTCTGGAGAGAGCCACTCGCCCTCCTCATTGGCCCAGCATGGTGAGGCCTTGGAGAGGCCCAGTTAAGGACTTGAAGTCACTGAAGGCCCTTGATGAGCCCCAGCCTCAGCCCCACATACACCCTGCTATGACTGCTTTGCCCCAGTGATCAAAACAGCAGGACCAAACACCATGGACTGAACCCCGTCCAGCTGTGAGCCAATGCCCACCTGCCTCCTTGCAAGCCCACTGTGCCAATATCTATTATTGAGACAAAAAGCTAGCTCATACAGTATCCCTCTTCACACCTTAACCTCCAGTTGCATTGAAGTCTCAAGTAGAAACACTAATTCTAAAATATGTTACAAGAGCACACAAAAAATATCATAATGATAGTTTTGGTTTGGACATAGTTTGCCCCCCTCCAGGACCAGACCCTCAGAGTAACAGTGCACTGTGTGACCGACCAGTGTGCTAGCGTGAGAGGCTGCTATCAGCCAGCCCAGCCACCAGAGACCTTGAGTTGGAAACAGGAACCAAAATAAACCTCCCTTCTTTGTAACTGGCTCAGTCTGTGGGACTGTGTTATTAGCAACGTGTTGAGCAAAGACAGTGCTTTCAGAGAAAGTAGACCTGGGAAGCAGAATGAAAGCACAGCCTGCATGGGAGCAACGACAACACGCTGTGCACAGATTTTCATCCTCTCTGCTGGGGCCTGCACTGAACTGCGCCTAGTCCTGCTTGCCCGCCTGGCCCTGCTTGCCTGCCTGGCCCTGCTTGCTGGCCCAGCCCATTTCTACATGATGATCTGCTCCATCCTCTGGGCAGGATGCCCCCTTTCCTCCTGGCTGACCTCCCGGCCACTCCCATACATGCTGTCTGTGGCACCACCATGTCCCATCCTGCATGCCCATCTCCAGAGCAGGACATCATGGGGCATGAGATCTCTCCCATCCCCTCCCATCCCCCATACTACTCCACTTCCTGTTTCAGAATGTTCTCTAAAGAGCCAGCCCCCCACCCCAGTTGTCCCTGCTCCTCTTCTCCATGATGCTCCCCTGGCACCCACATCCTAGCAACTTCTCCGTGATGGTCCCTACCATGCAGGGGGGAAGAGAGAGAGAGAGAGAGAGAGAGAGAGAGAGAGAGAGAGAGAGAGAGAGAGCGAGCCATTCCACAGGCTCCAGGCTGGCACCCAGGTCATTGGGCTTTGTACCCTGGTTTCCTTCTCCCATGCTGTGGGGTGAAGCCCCTATTTCAGTCACCAGGCCAGGTCACTACCCATTCTACTCTGTGACACCAGCATCCCCACCCACTTCACCACCAAGGAGTCGAGTTCCCAGAGGTTGCCCCTTAGGTAGAGGACATTCAGGGCTACCCATCAAATGCTCAGAGGACATCACGAAGGGCTGCTCCAGCAGAGTGCTGGAAAGCACCTGAAGGTGATGCTTCCTTCTCTTTTGTGGTCAGTTTGTTTTTACAGACCACCACCCAGCATGCCAAAGAAGGGCTCACGGGCCCCAAGGACAACCCCCACAGGCACAGCACTCACAGTGGGAGCCCATCCTGGATCACATAGGTCCCGTGAAAGCTGCGGCGGTCTATTGGTCCATCCAGGGCATTGTACTGGATCTTGGTCAGAGGCTCGCTGTCCCTGGGAACATGATAGGACATGTCCCCATGAGAGGGTGGTGGGGCAAGAGAAGATAAGGGGTGACTCTGGGACTTGGCTCACAGAGGGGCTTTGGTCACAGGTAGAGCCAGACACAGGGAAGGTGTGCCCAGGACTCTGCGGAGTGAAAGAGGGTTCCAGGTCTGTTGCTGGTTGGGAAGGGGTCTTTGGGGCCCCTCTGAGGAGGAGCCAGAGTCCTGGGGAATACTCACTCTCCCACAGGGTCCACCAGAACTGTATCCTTCCTCTCTGCTGTGTAGAAAGGAGGCTCGTAGATCAGGAACTCCATCTGTGCCACAGGGAGGACATCCTCAGGTTGTCACCAAGGCAGAGCTGGGTCAGCACCCCAAGGGGCCAAGGGGACTCACAGCCAAGGCCACAGCCACTAGGACCCAAAGCACCCCAGGGTGTAGGGCAGCCTGGATCCAAGGTGAGCCACAGAGGGGCTCCTAATCTCCAGGCCTGGCACTTGCACGGGGGCAGCTGCTTCTTCCAGGGAACAGGAGGCTGGGACAGGAGGGTGGCAGCCAGTGACAGGGCCAGAACAGCTGGGCAGGTATAAGCTCCAGGGGCTTCTGCAAGGCTTCCTTTGTCCCTCAAGTTGTGGGGCTCTGATTCTCTATCAGTCCAACATCGTTGGCCCAGCACTCAGGGCCCCATGAGGCTGCAGTGGGCAGGAGCTACAGGGAACACCAAGGGCCTCTCTTCCTACCTAGGGCACCAGCTGGCTAGGCACTCACCTCCCATGGTACCTTCTCATTGGGCACAGGAAACCTGGTGACAGGAGAACTGGGGTACAGGAGATGTCGAGCATTTACATGGTAGCCATCACCTGGCTCCTCCTCCTTCCTCTTGACAGCCAGCTCAGCATCTGGCTCATCGGGAGCCTTTGGTGCTGTGAACGGCCACATGGGGCGCTGACACAATGCTGAGCCTGAGCTGTGCACGCTACCCACCCAGCCCAGACATTCAAACCCTTCCTGGGTCCAGGCACTAGGGACAGGGACAGGAGATGCAGCATCCCCTTAGTGGGACCTCAGTAACTGGCTGACCCCACAGGCCTCAAGGAAAGGCTGTCCAGCTAATGGAGGCAAATTTGCCTTTGGGGTAGCCATATTCAAGGAAGACTACTCATGTCTACTTCCTGGATGGCTGTAAATTTAGGGGAATAGATTTTGCTTTCCATAACTGCATTAGTCAAAGATATCATACCCCTGGAGCTGGCCACCACCTTGCCTTTGCAGCAAGTCCGGGAGGAGGAGGACAGGGATGGTGGGCCAAGCTTCCCACAGGGGTCCAGGAGCCTGGTCAAGACAGGCCAAGGCCAGGCACCTTGTGGGAGGAAAAGGCTCAGCTCCTTTGGGCTGGTCCAACAGGGCCCAGAGATGGCTGTGGCTGAAACCATCTTTCTACCAAGACCCCAAAGCCACCTCTCCTCTAGCCCACAAAGGCCCAGAACTGCATAGGTCACTGGGGACCAGCTTCCAGTCAGGGAACTCCACTCACCCAAGGCAGACATGCCTGATGCCAAGCCAAAGTTACTGTCCTTCAGGGTCCTCACAATCCAGTGCAAAGACCTGGCCACCTGGGCCACCTGAAAGGTACAGCCCACGGAAGGTGTGTTGGCACCTGCATGGCACAATGCCTGCCACCTCTGCCTACCCCAACAATGAATCTCGCTAAAACATTGGGATCTTAAAGGGGGCTTAAGGCTCCCTGATGTCACAGGACTCACTGACCTCTGCAGTGCCCAACAGTGCTAAGTCCCCATAGGGGAGCACCATGAAAGGAAGAGGCATGGTCACACCCCTCCCCACCAAACTTCACCAGAAATCTCAGTGCTCAAGGCTCAGAGGCCTCTGGGACAGAAATAGCTCAGAAAGACGTAGCTCATGCTGCTGCACCTTTCTCGGGGGGCACAAGGCAAGGACTCACAGGAGAGTCCAGAAGGCAGAGCCTGTGAGACCCTGGGCACAGCGGATAGGACCACACGGATGGTGGACCCCTCACTGGCACAGGGCTAGCTGGAGGAGAGATGCTGCAGTGGTAAGCTCAGAGCAGGCTCACCCCAGTGCCCTGGCTGCAGTGGGCAGCAGGCGACCCATGGGAAGCACCAGTCTGGGGCCTGCTCAGTGGTCACTGACTGCGGGTGGGCAAGCCCAAAGAGTGCTCAGCCTCGAGGGAACCAGTGGGCAAGGGACACGCCCCTCTATGCTCTATGGCAAAAACAAGAATGCATGCAGGCTCTGTTGACATCCACTCAAGGAATGGATGGAGGACTCTGACCTCAGGATTCCAGCTTCCTATACTATGAGTCACTTCTGCTGTCATGGGAGCCCCAAGACACCTGAACCCAGTGGCCAGATCAGGCCAGGCCATGGGTTTTGTCATCCCAGGACACCCCAGCTCCTCCTGGCCCACATCTCCATGCACCCCTGTTCTGCATGGCAGCTCAGGGCCCAAGTCTCAAAGCCATGCCCTGTGTCCCACATCTGTGCACCTGTCCAGGCTAAGGCTGCTTCCCTGCCCTCCCCCTTCATGCGGAACCTCAGAGCAATTGGCTCAGCCGGATGCTGTTTCTTCCTCCTCTGCTGGCTACCTCAGCCTCCCAGGGCAACAAGGAGTCAGTCTGAGGCTGAGGAGATAGCTCAGCAGCTTAAGTGTCTGCTTGGCAAGCCCAAGGTCCTAAGTTTAATCCCCAGTACAAAAAAAAAAAAAAAAAAAAAAAAAGTCAGCCTGAGGTCTTCCCAGACAGGGCAGCATTGGTGGGGGAGAGGGGGTGGAATTCTTGTAGAGAATAGAAAAAGCCTCTTCCCCACTCCTGCCCCCTCTTCTCCCTCCCTTCCCAGGTGTCCCGCCCTGCACACCTGTTCCTCCAGGGATGCCAGCCTCTGCTCTGTGGGACCTGACCTCTTCAGACGGTCCATGTCCAGCAGCTCCACCATGCTGTCCACCCTGGAAGAGCACACAACTAAACCAGAGGCAGCAGGCTCTAGGGGACACTTGGGGACAGGATGCCATCATCATGCAGATGACCCTGCCAGATCCAGCAGTCCAAGCTCTGCATTGGCTGTGCATCAGTCACCTTTCTCTTAATCTGGAAGACTGGCTATCATATGATAGAATGAAACCCCCTAGAATCCCCAAAAGGGAAGATGTAACAGCAGAGGGACAGCCCAGGCTCCCAGGGCCAGGTGACAGCCTGCCAGAGGGTGTCCAGGGAGAGACACACCGGAGCTGGCTCACCATGCCTGCCCACAGCATGCCGGGCCATATGCTCTGACCCTCAAATCAGAGAGGACAAAACAGCTCCTGGGGCAGCTGGGGTGATTTAGGGGTGGGGGAGGGCCACCCCTACTTTAATTTTCAAGTAAAAATTCTTTTTTGTCTTACTTTGCTAGAGCATATAAATTTCTAGTCCAGTGTGGTGACTCATGCCTAGAATACCAGCACTCAGTAGGCTGAAGCAGAAGGCTGAGGCGGACCTCTACAAGTTCAAGGCAAATTTTAAGTTAAGAAAATACAAAACATAAGCTTCTGTCCACCTTGGCCTGTTGTGTTTATAGTTAAAATCAGTCCATGGCCAACACCTATCCAAAGCTCCTCTGATTTCACACAGGGGTTCCCTTACTTCCTTTTGCCAACTGCAGTCACATTCATTTGTGGTAAAGATAGCAGCTATTTTAATACCCAGTGAGTGTTCCTGGGGACATGACCCACATGCAATAGCCAACTACAGGAAGGGAAGTGCCTGAACCGGGAACCTATGGGTTTACTTCTGCCCACACAATCTACTGCTCAGTCCCACAAAGACCACTTCCTGGCCCAGGCCTTGACTTCCCATAGAGCCTTGAGGATATTCCAGGATGATTACTGCAGTCTCTGGGGGCCCTGTAACACGGTCAGATGAGATGAGAGCTGCCTCAGTTTGCGGATGGCACACCAGGGACACCAGAGATCTCAGACCCCCAGCCCTGCTCTGTGTTGGCTCGGCTCAGCCACCATGCTGTGAGGACCTGCTGCGCCATGTGCCAGGGCACCTCCCTGGACCTTGGACTCCTCGATGGACCCATCTGGAGGAGGTGGCCGGGGCTGGGGACCTTCATAAGAGCCGCCAAGTTATTTCATCATTTCTCCTGTTGCCCTGCATTTTGCAAGATCTTATCAACTGCAGCACATCAATTTTTGTTAAAAATTCCTAGACACATAAACAGCTTTTGAAATGTCACAGCAGCTGCACTCCAGCTACAACACCTCCTATAGGAACAGTCCTGCGAGGCAAGTGGGACAGGTGCTCATCAGTGTTTGCAGAAACAGACTGAGGCCAGCTAGGGCCAGCATTCAAATCCAGGCTGCACTGTATGCTGGCTCTGACACCCAGCTACCATACTTTCACTTTCTAGGGCCTTTTTTTTCTCCATGGCAAGATGAATGTACGACACTTCCTGCTGCCAAAGTACTAGAGAGGAAGACAGGCAAAGTGCTGAGCCTCTAGGCCCCAGTGCCTTCGAACCTCCTGCTGACTGCACCTACTCAACTGCCAAGTGCCAGACCTGGAGCTCTGTGTCAGGGCATCCTGACACCTGGGCACCATTTCTCAGCATCTGGGCCCTAGGTCTGACTACTGTTTAAGTCAAATGATCCCAGCAGAGGCTGTCAATCAAGGTATTCTTGGCCACAGCCAGTGAGAGAAAGTAGCCAGGTGGGATACTGAATCCAGCATGTCCTCTTAATTAAAAGGGTCAAGGTGGGACATCAGGGGAAATCAGGGTGACACCACACTCCAGCCTCCTGCTGTCCTGTCAGGAAGGGGACCAGTTGCAGCCCCAGAACTGCACATGCCTGCTGAGTATCTGCCAGGCCTGGGCCTGCTCCAGGTCCCTGAAGTCCACAACAGAGAACCTGAAGAATTCTGTCCCTGCTCTTGTGGATTTCACATCTCCAGGGAGAGAGCAGGAAAACATTAACCCAACCCACCAAGGGACTCACCAACTAAATTAATGAACAAATCAATCACGAGAGGTAGAAGCACCTTTAACCATCTACTTCATTGTCAGGGACCTCCGGGTTGTGCTGTCACCCCCACCATCATCATCTCCATCACCAATATCTTCATCACCCTCATTATCATCTTTACCATCATAATCGCCATCCTGATCATCACCACCATTATTGTCCTTAATAGCCTCACCTCCATCATCACCCCCATTATTACCGTCATCATCATCACGATGCCCACCACCACCATCATCATGACCACCGTTACCGCAATCACCACCACCACCACTACCACCCATCCTCACCATCATGACCATCACCACCACCATCCCCATCACCACCATCACCACCATCACCATGACCACCACCATCATGACTATCATCATCTCTTTTCATCATGATTGCTACCTACAGGATACTCTGTGCCAGGCAGGAGCTGCCATGCCTAGGTGGCACTGTCCCCTCCCTACTCCCATTACTCATGGTGGGGAGCCCAGGGCTAGACAGGAGCAGGGATCCACCACAGTGAGATGCTGATATCAGAACCCTGGGAACAACTCTCTCTGCTGCCACCCCCCATGGCTGAGGGGCTGAGGCAGAGAAAGGGGCAGAAAGAGCTTCTCCAGCACAGATCTTGTCCCCGGAAAGAAGCAACCGGGGAGAATCGGGTTGGGAGACGGTGCTGATGTGGCCAGCAGCCCAGGCTAGGCACCAACCCAGGCTGGGCACCAACAAAACTCACAGGCAGCCACCATCACGACGGCCCCGAGCACCACATGTGTGTACTCTCTGTGGTCTCTTGTGAGGGCATCAACACTCCTCTTGCTCCCAAACCACCCTATTCTCCCAGCTCTGCCCCTCCTGCATCTGCAGACCCAGCCTTCCTCGGACCCCACAGGCCCTTGAGTCAGCTTCTGACACAGGCCTGGGGGCTTGTAGGGGCCACAGTAATGACAGCAGTGACCACAGGGAGTACTCTGATATGCTAGCAAGGTCCCATCCCCTTCTCCCTCCCATGCTGGGTGACCTGGACCCAGGGGCCTATTGGGTAGGTTATGGGCCTGGTGAAGCCTGCACTTGGAGCCTGTGGGATGCAGGGCATGGCCCACGCACTTCTCACTAATGTCCTGGATCCTCTGCTCTGGCCGCTGGTGGTGCTGGTACTGCTGATTATGCAGGTAGTTCTCTTTCAGGTAAATCTCCCAGGATAGCAGGGCTGCCTCCTCATTCTTCTCCAGCTTGTTCTCTGTTGGCCAACAGAAGGACATTAACTCCTCCTGACACCCCTGGGCCCCCTGGGAGGGCAGCAGCAGCCTTTGTGGTCACCAGGGTTTTAGAAGGAGCCATATACTGGTCTCTGGGTCCCTGTCTGCACTGTGACCAGGACCGCACTCTGAGGACACAAGGGCTGGGGGTGGCTCACTGAGTTGCGTGTGCCTCTTGGCAGGGGTCTTCAGGACCACCCTCTTGACCAGCAGCTGCAGGTGGCTGAGCAGGATGAGTGGGGGCGGTGCTGGGGGCCGGCCATGGTACTCCTCGATCAAGTCATGGCGTTGGAACTTCCAGATCTGGTCTGTGTGCTCCTGCACCTGCTGAAATGTGTAGCTGTGGGCACAAGAGGGGCATGGACATCAGCAGGTGTGCAGCAAATGGACTTAGCTCATGGTCCAGGATGGGGGACCCCAAGACCAGAGAAGCAGCTGCCCAGGAGGTCAGCTCCAGACTCGGAGGAGTGAGACCACCAAGCGCCTGACTTCTCACACCAGGAGGGGAGCCAGGGAGAGAAGGCAGAAGTAGTGGAGTCACGTGGGCCTCAGCAGCCTCAGTGACCCTGGTGCAGGGACCAACACTGCTATGTGAGCTATCAGAGGAGTTCACTGTTGAGGCCCACAAGCCCAAGACCAGGGCACTGTCTCTCTCCTGAGGGCTTATAGATGCCAACTCAGGTGTACAAGGTAGATGGGCCTTGGCAGAGCAAGTGCAGAAGGAGGGGGTCCCCTGGCCCCACTCAGTTACCCTGCCTGGGGACAGGGTCATCTCATCAAGCCTGGCCCCTATATCTCAGCTTTGGAGCATAGGCTCTCATCACAGCATCTTAAAGCAAAAAGGCCACCCGGAGCTCTACAGACAAGAGGGGAAGCCAGCACCTAACTAAACCAGCAGAGGAGGATTTTCAAAGACTGGAATCCACCTTCAGAGGCTGGAGGGTGAGGGCTTGAAGGATTCTCTGAAGTACAGAGCTGCTGTGGACACAACAGCAGGCGCTGCCAGGTCCTGCCCTGAACGTCAGGGTCTTCATCCATGGTCTCCTGCTTCCCTGGCTCCTCCTCTTCCTGCCTCTTGCTTTATTTAGGACCTCAGAGCTTCCTTTGATCCAAGCTTACAAACTATGGAAGGCCTGTTATCCCAGCACTTGGGAGACTGAGGTGGGAAGATCACCACAAATTCAGCCAGCCTGGCCTACACAGTGAGTTCAAGGCCAGCCTGAACACAAACAAAACACTGTTTTAAAAACTCCACCTCCCAAAAAAAACAAAAAAATCCACTGACAGAAGCATAGTGGGGCCTCCAGAGCCTGGGTCCAGAAGGGCTATCAGAAGACCTGCCACGTACACTACCAGGATGTCTGCAGGCCCAAGAAGACCACAGCTGGCAAGACAGACCACTAGTAAAGCCTCAAAGTTCTAAGGAGATGAAATGTTTCAAAACACCAAAGATTTAAAGAACACCTAGGCATTTCCAGAGGAGTAGCTACTCTATTCATTTTCTGTTGCTGCTCCAACAAATCACTACAGACATAAAAGAATCAAATTTGTTCTCTCTAAGTTCTGGGGGTCAATGCTGGTCTGACCCCAAAGTGTCACAGGGCCAGTGCCCCTGGAGGCTGGGGGATGACTGACTCCCTTGGCTGTGGCACTGTGTCCCCAGACTCTGATATCAGATGACATTTCCTATCTCCCTCTCACACAGACCCCTGCCGGAGGTTGGTCACCATGGCTTATTGTTGTGGTTTATATCCACATGTTCCCAGAGCCTCGTGGCACATGGGGTGGGGGGACTTGGGAAGGTCATTGGACCATGGGGCTCAGCTGACTTGCTGTTGGGAGGCAGAGCCTGATCAGAAGAGGTGGTCCCTGGGGACACAGCCTGATGGCTTCATCTCCCTCCCCTGCTTCTCCCTTTTCTACTTCCTGTGCTCTATGCTATGAGCAGTTCTCCTCCGACAGCCCCCTCTGCCATGCTGCCTGCCTTGCAGCCAACTGACTATGGACTAAAACTTCTACATACTGTGAGCCAAAGTCAATCTGTCCTTTCTTACGCTGTGGATCTTAGGTATTTTGTCCCAGCAAGAAGGAACTAGGCACATGTGTGTAAACCCTGTGTTGGCACATAAGTCCCTCACTGTGGGAAAAGCAGACATAGTTGTCCAGAGATGAATCTGAGCCCAAAGGAAGCCTCAACTCAGCACAATCAGAGGTGGACAGTAGCACAGAAATGCACCCAGGGGGCAAAGACACAGGCAGAACCTCAGGAGAGAGTGAGGGTCCCTGAGCAGCCAGCACTGCAGCTCACTCCTGGGCAGAGTGATGAGTACTCTTATAGCTATTCACACAGAATGAGGCTAATGCCAGCAACCCATAGCAGGCACCACAGCTGACAGGACACAGCACCATCAGCCCCCCAGGGGCAGTGATAGGGATGGACAAGCAGTGACCAGAGAGGAGAGGCTATGCATGTCCTCCCCAGAATGTTAGGAGGTCCTCCTGCCTCCAGAAGATGGGCACACTAAGGTCCTTCTCAGGACCATATCTATTGGCTCTTCTGGGAGAATGGTGGGGCAGTCACTGGCTAGGGACCCCACACATGTGCCAGCCACATTAGGCACTCACTTGAACATAGCGATGAGGAGGTTGAGCAGCAGGATGTTGGTGAAGAGCAGATAGAGGCAGAGCAGGATGACTGTGAGCCACTCCGGGAAAGCGGGCTTCTGCTGTGTGATGTCACTCTCGGGGCACTTGGGCTTGTAGGGATCCGTGCCATTGGGACTACAGTGTGCCAGGTCAAAATTCACGCCTGGAGTTGGGAGTGCAGTGGGAAAGCCATGGGGATGAGGCAGCCATGAAGGTGCCAGCCAGGAGGGACCTTGGCCACCCAGTCACTGCCAAGGAACCCCACAGGACTGGACACCTGCATATCCAGTGACAAAGTCCAATGGGAAGCTCTGTCCGTTCCAGGCATTCTCCATTGGCAGGTACCACAGCTCCCAGGGCAGCCCAGAGCCCACCCAGGACCCAGCCATCCTTAGCACTTCCTAAGGCTACCATCATCACAGGCTGGGAGTCCCAACCCTGCAGAGTTCATTTGGTGGGAAAGAATTTTAAAAGAAAAAATTAACAATAACATGAAAAAGGATGAAATACTTGGGAGTAAATTTAGTGCATAAAGTGAGAGATTTATGCACTAAAATCTACAAAACATAGTTTCAATCAATTAAAGATCTAAATAAGTGAGAGGATACCCTGATGCATTTTTGACATAAGTTGACCCAAAATATACATGAACCAAAAGGGCCCAGAAGCCAAACCAACCTGTGGAAAATGAACTCAGTTGAGAGACTGATGCTTCTCAATTTCAAAGCCTAGAATAAAGCTATGGAAACCACAGCAATGAGGTGTCAGCACGAGGACCGACATGCTAAAGTAGAGAGGCTAGACACAAACCCTGACATGAATTGCCTACTGACTTCCCAAAGGGGTGCCTGGACATTCCGAGGAGAAACAACAGTGCTGCCAACAAGTGATGCTGAGACACATAGATATCCACAAGCAAAACAAAGGCCCTTACCGCACACCATATGCAAAAATAATGTAACTGAGTCAAAGACCAAAAAGAAGGAGCTAACATTATAAAACTTTTAGAAGAAAACATAGACATAAATCGATGCTGCTTTTGGGCCGGACAGATAGTTTAGTGGACTAAAGCCCTGCTTAGGCAGGCTTAGCAACTGATTTGATCCCCGATGTGCTGTGCCGGCCCTGACCCCAGGGCACGTTGAGATGGGCAATTGAGACTGGGCATGGTGGCGCATGCCTGTAATCCCAGTTCTTGGGATTACAAAAAAAGAAAAGAAAACTCCCTCAGTGAAAGATGCCAGGTGCAGGACTCCCGGGACATCATCCAAGTCATCTGAGCTGTTCAAGAAAGGTGAGTATGAACACAGGAAGTTGATGGGCAGCTGCTTAAGCTGAGGGCAGGAAGCCAGGAGTGGCTGAGGACAGGTTGGTTGTCTTGTGGGGGAATGCAAATGCAAAATTCAGCTTTTGTGAAGCCCTAAAAGTCATTGACATGTGCACTTTACACAGGTAAAGTATGTACCAGGATTGCCATCTCACATAATCCCTCTGCACACACTGAAGGTGAGGAGGTACGGCAGTGTCTCCACTATACAAAGGGATGGGTGGCTTCTAACGCGGAAGCTTCCAGCAGATGCCCAGCGCCCTGGGCCACCTCTACCAACTGATGGCCTCAACAGAGCAAAGCCCAGGCTCCCCAAGACACCTCTCACACCTCAGCTGAGCCCACACCCCCGTCCTACCATCAATGTAGGCTGGGATCTGCCCAAAGATGGTGAGGTAGGAGTGATAGACGACCCCTCGGAAGATCCAGTCCACACGGCTCTCATTGTGGATAAGGATGGCTTGCTTGGCCACTCCGAAGGACACCACCCACACAGCCAGGAGGAAAAGGAAGAAGAAGACATCCTTCATCTGCAGAAGAGGAACTGGGCTTCACTGTCCCTCTCTTCCACCGTGCCCAGCAGCCGAAGGGGAAGTCACAGCCACCCAGGGCATAGGGAGCACCCAGAGGACCACAGGAAGAAGGAGCTAGGGATAGAGTGGAAGCCAGACAGGTCAGGAGGCAGCTGAAGGAGGCAGCACAGAGAGGCACCAGACACAGGAAGTCACAGTGGCCACTGGACCCTTACCATCCGCTTCACAATGATTATCTTGGGCCCCAAAGTCTTGCTGACAGTAAAAATATGCATCAGGCGGAGGCAGAACATGATGAAGTCCAGGGAAAGGATGACACGCCCAGGATACAGTGTTGCCGGAATGAGCCTGCAGGCAGTAGGGCAAGGACAGCACTCAGGACTTAGTCAGCAAGCAGCCTGTAGCTCCCAGGGCCTACGTCCAGCTGGGGGCTCCCACTGCGCCAAAGCTGAGGGCCCAAGAGCACAACCTCCAGAAGTTCAGCCTCAAGCAATGCAGCCAGAGCCTGGGGACACCACATAAAACAAGGGGACTTGGCCAGGCTTGCCCTGCCTTAGGACATGGGGACCCAGGTCTTGCAGATACATAACCCCATCGTGGACAGAAAGTGGGCCAATAGGAGTGGGCAACAACAGAGGACAACCTGGACTTCAGAGCCCAGCCCAGCCCTGAGTACCCTGGACAGCCGCACAGCTACTCACCGGCATGTCAGCCCCACAATGAAGAGCAGGATGGCCCCCACATCCAGCTTGTTCCAGAAGTCGCTGAAGTACAGGGATGCCATCTTCATCAGCCCGCACTCATCAGGGTCATAGAAGAGCTACTGGGGAGACAGGGACTCATCGTCACTGTCACAATCCTCCTCTATGGAGGGAACTCTTTCCTGGTGGGCAGGAAAGAGAGGATCCCGACACCCCACAGGACCACAGGGTACCTGGAGCAGCACATGGGCCGTGAGTGCTCTCTGGGACCTAGGACCCAGGACCCCTGCTGGATAAGTGTGTGTGTGTGTGTGTGTGTGTGTGTGTGTGTGTGTGTGTGTTCATGAGTCTGCATGAATGCTGGGGAAGCCCCTCCTCTCTGAAATAGGGGCCCTATGACTCCCTGTGTGGCCTACTATCATCTGGCAGCCAGCTGCCAGGTTGAGGGCAAGTGACCTAAAGAATCCACCAGGTCCCACTGGGCATCTGCTGCCAGCCCCAGCAGTCCCAAGGGACAGACTCAGAAAAAGAGCACAGCCTCCTTTTCTGGGGTAAACCAGAGAGGTGTCTCAGTGGCATGGAGGCCCCAGAAGGGGCACAGCCATGGCCCTGGCACTCAATGCCTCCCCAGGCTCCTCCTATCGGGCAGGTGGCCCCACTTCTGAAGGCTGGTGCTAGAGTCTGCAAGTGTGGGGAGCAGAGTGAGTGCAACTGAAGCCATGTCCTTCTGGGTCCCCTGCAGCCCCAAGAGGCAGTTGGCCCAGCCCCAGATGGCAGTGCTCTGTGCAGGCTTCCCTGTGCCATTGCCCCATAGAAAGATACAGCTGGCACTCCAGGCTCAGCAGCACCAAAGCGTGGCCCAGAGCTCCACCCCTGTTGGTTTCATGCACAAACTTTTACTGGAGCCACCAAGCCAAGCATCACTGCTATCAGCCAGCCTGTGAGTCCTCTAGCAAATGACCAAACATGGCATGGTCACAGGAAGCCTCCCAGCAGGAAGAGGCTCATGGAATGGATTAGACAAGGATCTCATTGTTCCCAGAGCACTGAGAATTGGAAGTAGGGGAAGCAGCAGGTGTAGGGGGCAGATTTTTCCCCAGGCTCTCTTGCAGAAGAGAGTGTCCACCCTGCAGGGACTTCTGTTCCCAGGGGAGCTCCAGGCCAGACACACACCTGCCGTGTCTCCTCACACACTAGGGAGAAGAGCCAGAGGTAGATGAGGCACTCGCTCCAGGATGGCGTGGGCTGGAAGTCCACCATGAGCACATAGGCAAAGAGGCAGAGAAAGGCGAAGTAGGACAGGATGTTCAGGTGGAAGACGACCACAGGTGCACTGAAGAAGGCACGGGCGCGGGCTGGGCCACTCAAGGCCTGCAGCCGCTTTTCCCTGTGGACGTGATGACACACAGAAGGGCAAGCATGAGGGTCTAGACTTCAACAGACGCAACACAGGGGCAATGTGTTCAAGGAGGTGTCACCACTGCTCAAGGCTATGTGCCAGCTCCCGGAGGGTCACCTTGAGGAGCTTCATCCCTCTGGTCCTATGAACCCCAGACCATCACCAGCAGCCACAAGGTCCACCACAGAGGGAACTCAAAGGCCAACCTCTCACTTCCTGCCCAGGGCCATGGATATCATGGCTCCCACCAGGGATGCAGATTGGACATGAGGCCTAGGTGTACCTGGCACTATCCCCACAAATAGGGGCCTGTCCACACTGTCCTTCACATGGGTCAGGGCTGACCAGAATAGTGCTGACCCATATCTTATCACCGAGACTGCTGGGAACAGCAACTGCAGCTCCATACCATTGGGGAGCACTGGAAAAACAAGCAACACTTCGGGGCACCTGGGATGTTCTCCTGTGCCTCAGTTTCCCCAGGACATACTGAGCACTGACTGCAGCTCAAGCCCATGTCTCCAGCTGACAGAGCATGGGGTTGGGGGAAGCATATGGTCTACCAGCTACAGGAGGGGTTCAACCGATGGCCACCCAGATTGGGGCCTTAAATCTGTCCCTGGGCTCTTTGGGGACTAGAACCACTGCCCAACCCCTACTACATCCAGCCCATTGTGCTTCTGCAGAGGCTGAGGGTGGAGCTGAGCCAGGCCTGGGTCTTCAGCCACTTGGACCACAGACTGCTTCTTCTGAGAGGAAAAGGACTGGCCCCAGGCTCTATAGAGTGGCCCTTGGCTTTGGCTGGATGCCCTCATGCAACCAGGTTCAGCACCAGCATCTCAGCGGCACTAGGGGGCACCATGTGCTCCACCCTACCCATTCACAGCCCAGGGCACAGCAAGGTACTGGGGGCACAGCAGACAGTTCAACCCAAGGTGGGCGCTGGAACACAGCAGTAGGCGCCCCATCCCTGCTTCCTCCTCACAAGTATCTACCAGTCCAGGATCCTGGCACAACCTTGAGGCACAAGATTTCCAGGGAAAAGAGGCCCCCATGCCCAGCCACACCCTCAATCCAACCCAGGCACCTGAAGGAGATAAGGCCCGTGAGAAGCAGTGGGAAGGCCAGCATACACAGGATGACCCGCCACAGCCCGTTGTCCACACACAGCTGGCCCCACCATACTTTGGTCAGGAAGGCCTGTGGAGGTGGGGGGAGGGCTCAGGATGGGCACCAACAGATCCATTACACCCAATGCCCAAGGAATCGGCACCTGCTCTCATGGGTACAGGCACTGTGAGACCCCACAGAGGCCAGGCTCCAAGCAGGTAGAGCCATCTGCAGCAACAGGGTACATGGTGGAGAGGCCAGACTCCCATGGGGCTCCTCACCCACACCCCAAACTCTTGTTCCTTCTATTCCCTGAACTGTGAGACTCATCCCCTTAGCATCCTGAGTCCTCACAGGCCCGGGTTCTCACAAAATGGCCCTTTGCAGCCCCGGAGGCCAGGCTAAACCTTCCACAGGTGTCCCCAAGACACTTGGAGCTTGGCAGACAGGTGGCAGCGTGCAGCCTGCTTTACCAGATCCTGGCATTCAAAGAGTGCTCACTTTGTGCCCGGCCTACTGTGAGAGCTGCGAGAGGAAACTATCTCACGCCTCGTGGGCCACAGAGATAGACAGTTGACAGGAGCTCCAGGGGCTGCCTGCAGGACCAGCTGCCCTACTGCCCGGGGCCCACTCACTGCCTGCTTCCACCGAGGCCACTGCCTCTCTGCCATGTGGGAGGTGCCTCCAGCCAGAGGCTGTAGCCATCAGCTAGGCCCCATCCCTAGCCACCCCAGACCTGTGCCAGTGTGTCTTTGTGACACGGAGGCTGCACCCATCCTGTAAACACTTGGGCACTTGACCCTGGAAGCCAGGCCTTGGAAGGTCACCTGGATGCCCCCGTGAGACACGAACTTCATGTCCTTAGCATCCAGAGCCAGCTGCAGGCAGGTGGTCTTCCCCCAGGCTTCAGACACGCGGATGAGAAGCTTCTGAGCCCGCTCCTCATCCTTTCGATAGCACTCGGTGAAGACCCCTGGAGGGAAGAAGATTAGTCCCAGGGCGGCAAGTGGCAGCCACTGAATCTGGGGAATCCCAAACAGGGGTGCAGCATGGTCCAGACAGGCAAGGGTGAGGTTGGTATCCCTGACACCAGGCCTGGGGGCACAGACCCTGGTGACAGCACATGGCCGGAGACCCAGGACCAGACTCACCAATGGCTCTGAGCTCGTACTCATCTGCCAGGGCCAGCATCTCCTCCGAGCTGTCTGTATCCTCCTCCTCCTTGGACAGCTCTTTCAGGATCTTGCTGCAGGCCAGGGCAGCTGCAATGCAGTCCTGGCTCTGGGGATGTAGCCCAGTGAGGACCTGGACGGCCCAGCTAGGCTTCGCCCAGCCCAGGAACCTGCCCTAGCTGGTGAAAGCAGAGACCTTGGACAGGACAGGCACTCGGCCATGGCTTTCGTGGCCCATCTCAGTAGCCCCTTTCTGACAGCCACATGCTGCCTGGCCTATGGGAGCCATCTGCTTGCCCCACAGTCTCCCTAAGGGTCAGGACAAAGCCAGCACATGTGCTAGTCCTCCAGAACTTGGTGGGCCCATAAGTCTTGGTGTGGCTATCTCCACAGGAAGAGTTTGAGTGATAGATCATTTAGAGCCAAGTTTTGTGTCTTCCAGGCCCTGAGCCCAGGCAGTAGTGTTACAGACCCTACTGCCTGCCCTCCCCAGCGCCATGAGCTTTCCCACTTGCCCAGCTGCTGGCTACCGGCCTCCACATCATCACTTCCACTGAGAACGAGGGCTCCCTACCTGAGCCCAGATGATGCCTGCCAGTTCCTGACGGTTCTGGACAATGGCCCAAATGAGAAGGTCTCGCACTGGGTCCATGGTGAAGGTGATGTGGCCTGATGAACGTTTGTAGAGAGACCGAAGGCTCACTCCCTGCATCTGGTGGACAATGGACAGTCTAAGTCTCACAGAGACCACCCTGGTGTCAGAATCCAGGGGAAGCTGGGGTGGAAGGCCTGCCCTGCCTTGTCAGCACTACCTGAGGTCATTCCTATGCACACTGTAGTTTCAAAACCACCATCCTGGATCAGCAAGACATGTCAAGAAAGGCACACCCATCTGGCTACTTCACCCTTGCCACACATCAGGCACTTCCCAAGGTTCCTCAGCTACATCTGATCAACACCTTTCCCAACACAGCAAATCCTGTGCCCAGATCTGTGGCTATGAGCTCTTGAGAGGACCTCACAGTGTGTCTCCTGCAGACAAAGCCATCAAAGGGGGAGTGGAGACTCACTTGAGTCGCAGAGCCAAGCTCAGCTCAGACAGCTGAGAAGACACATTCTCAGGTAGGGAATTTCATATCACATATATCATATCACATGCAAAATCACACTCCCTGCAAGTATCCTGGGAATCTCCTAAAGGCTTATCCTCATAAAGAAAGTAGTTAATCTTCTGAAACTGCAGAGGCAGTTAAGTGTGAGCTCTGGCTTTAGGTTCTCCTAGGCACATTCTGCTGGGCACCTGCCATCAACACCCTGAAACAGAGTAGAACCATGACTACAAAACCCAGTAACCCCCATGTCCTTGTCAGAGGCCAGGCGCCACTTGACTGCGTCAATGGACAGGCTAGAAAACCTGGAGAAATAGATAATGTTTGGGGAGATAGCTCAGTGGCATAGCACCTGCTGGGTAAGCACAAGGTACTAAGTTTGATTCCCAGTGCCAAAAATGGGAAAAAAAAAGAAGGAAGGAAGGAAGGAAGGAAGGAAGGAAGGAAGGAAGGAAGGAAGGGAGAAAGAAAGAAAGAAAGAAAGAAAGAAAGAAAGAAAGAAAGAAAGAAAGAAAGAAAGAAAGAGAAAATGTTCCAGCATATAAAAAGCAAAACCAAATACAATCTTCCAAGACATGAAAAATATAAACGGAAATAACAAGAAAAAAAATATAGTTACCAGAACTGTTACAAAAAAAAAAAAAAAACTTAGACCTTGATGGCCTCGCAGAACTACCAAACTGCAGGAAACAATCTACTCTAGCCACATTAAAATCCAGAGTAGAGCAAGAAAGGAAACTTCCCAATGGTTTCTACAAAGCCAATATAAATTAATATGGAACTTAGTGAGTAGAGTGCACTAAATAAACTACAACCCAAAGCTTCACAGGCTGATGCAAAAATCCTGGAACCCCTGGCAGAATCCAGACCTAGATTGTACTGCACTCCAGCTGAAATTCAAAACAGGAATAGAAGTGTTTCACTCTCAGGAAGTCAATAAAAATTATTCACTAGATTTATTCTTTTCTTCAAAGAAGAAAACCAGATGGGTCCTCCTGAGCCTTAACAGGGAATCAGAAAGAGTGAAGCTCGCGTGTTAATTTCACACACACACACACACACACACACACACACACACACACACACACACAGAGCCAGTGCATTCTCAGCCTGGGACACCAGCTCTGGGGTAGGGGAGGGAGGCGGCACAGACTCCCACACCTGCTCCTGCGGCCCCACCAGTGTGGCTGCATAGCTCACACAATCACATCTGGGATGTCAGCACCCTGAAGAGGAACATGGAGAACACATGGAAAGCAGGACCAGCACAGAACACTGAGCCCCCCTGAAATGCTTTCTACTCTTTATAATTTCTAGAAGAGGGAGTGATAAGACCTGAATTGTGTTAGAGGTTTAATCCCTGGCCTGCCATGTTGGCCTAGCTCTGGGGCATACTGAGACAGCGAATGAGACTGGGCTTGCTGGTGCACACCTGTAATCCCAGAGCTTGGGAGACTGACAATCAGGAAGGATCCCTACAAGTCTGATCTGTGCAGCGAGACCCTGTAGGCCCCGTACTAAATGCATTAAAAGAAGAAGACCTGAACTGTGTTCCCTAAAGTGCCTACACTGAAGCCCTGATCTGCAATGTGCCCAAAGGATTTGGAAATGAATCCTGCTAGAACTTACAAAGTGTGGCCAAAATCTGACCCTTCGCTGGTTCCATCATCTTATCACTTTCTGAGGCAGTTCTAGAGTCCTCTTCCATGAGTGTCTTTATTTTTTTTTTAAGTGTGATTTTTTAAAAAAAGATAGAGACTGCTTCTGCTGAGTGTCATCTACCAGAAAAGCAGACGCACAAGAGCACAACGCTGTGTCCTCATCCACCTTATTCACTAGGTCTGGCACTGTACAGCTTCCGGCTCTTCCCCAAAGTCAAGATAACCATGAAGAGGAAATATTTTTAATCCATTCAGGACACCAAGGCAGCCAGGGAAGCACAACTAAAGACCCTAAGGAAAGAGGACTCAGACCTGCTGCAGGAGGTGGCAAGGGTGACGGGATGATGGTGTGTAAAGCAAGGAGGGGCACTTTGATGAGGATGAATGGAACTGTCTTTCATGTAACTTTTAAAAGGTAAGTTCACAGCATTTTTCAATTCTACCCTGGAATTAGGATGCAATGAGGTGAGAGGGTAGGGCCCTAATGCCATAGGATGGTCTCTGTACAAGAGGAGAAAGAACCAGAGACGATCCTGAAGACAGCAGGAGGGGGAGAGGGTGGCCATTTGCAGCTGTAAGCTGGGGCCTCAGCAGGAAGCAGCCCTGCTGGCACCATGATCTGACTCTGAGTACAACTGCTTCTGCTAAGCCAGTGGTGTGCGGTGCTTCAACAGTCACAGAGCCACAGTCTAGGGCAGGGAGCATATCTCTTGTCTAATAAAAATAACAACTAATCACAAACACGAAGTGTGCTGAGGATGCAGCCCCCACCCCACAGCCATGTCACCAGCACACACGTTGAGTTTGATGTGGGGCACAGGCAGCGAAAGCCGAGGTCGGTCGCCGTGTCGGGGCCGGGGGTACAGTGGCTGTGTGGAGTCCCCCAGGAGCTCTCGCAGCACCTGTGCCACGTGGTACATCTGCAGGCGGGGCGCAGCAGGCACACCAGTCAGGGGCTCCTCAGCCAGCACCTTCTGCAGCTTGCTGTGGAAGAGGCAGGAGGGCTCCAGGTTCTCGTACAGGTAGAGGAGTGTGTCCCAAGTGACAAGCTCTTTCAGCCGGACCCCATTCTCCAGGAAGAGCTTTACGAACTCCGGCTTGTTGGAGATGAGTGCAGCTGTCATCGTGGGGTGCAGATCTGAGGGCTGAGAGAACACTGTGAGGGTGACCGCCATTTGTGGCTGCCGCCTTACTGAGCATGGGCTTTGCTGAACCTGGAGTTACTGTTCTCCCCATCTGGGAGGGTGTAACCTGCCCAGGTCACCACCTCCAAAGGTGGGCAGCAGCCCAGGCAGAGGACCCCGGGCTGGCTTCATTCCCTAGGTAAGGTTCCTGCAGGCCCTGCATGACTGCCCCAGGGCTGCCCAAGATGCCAACCTTCCACTGCCACTCATCAGTAAAGATCTCGCTGCGGGCAATGTCCACACGATTCCATGCCACCGCCAGCTTCAGCTGATGATCCCAGTTCTCTTGGCCAAAGTGGTCTTGGCTCCTCGAGGCTGCAGGCGAAGGGACAAGTGTGGGTGCACAGCCTGTGGCTCAAGCCAGAGCTCAAGAAGGGTAGTGAACCCCACCTCTCAGTAATTCAAAGCAGTAAATTCAGCCCCCAGGTGAAATGTCCTCTCCACCCTGGGGGAACAACTTTTCACATCAGAGTCAGAGCCAGAGAATCTCTGGGTTGCAATGTCACTCCAGCTCACCCCATTCCCACCTCCTGACCATGCTGCACTCCCCTGTGACAGGTGGGCGGCAACAGAAGGAAAGAGCTCAGCCTTTAGGGAAGACCCAGGGCTCTGAGAGGTGGCCCTCTACATTAACGTTCAAAATTCAGAGACCAAAAGCCAAACATTCCTTTTCAGCCTCAGTTCTCTCTTCACTGCAACAGCCACCTGGTGCAGATCCTCAGGGCAAGAAGGAGCTCCTCTACATTTTGAGTCATGGATTGTTATTTGGAGAATAAAGAAAACAACTCTGACCCTTACCTCATACCATATACAAACGCCCTTCAGAGGTAGGCCCCAGACCTGAACACAGAACACTAACTCTAAAGCTGTACCATAAAGTAGGAGCAAGTATCTGTGGCCTTAGGAGGGATGCAATTTCTCAGGTAGGATATGGGAAAAAATTTTAAATTGAACTTCTACTCTTCAGGGGAGACAGCTCCGTAGAATAAGCACTTGCCTGGCAAGCACAAGGGCCTGAGTTCAATCCCTGGTTCCACCAATAAATAAATAAATAACAAGAACGTCTCTTCAAAGACATTATAAAAAAACAGACACAAGCTGCAAAGCAGGAAAAGATACTACCAGTGCGTATACACACAAAAGAAAAGCAACAGAATATGCAAAGAAGTCCTACAACTTTATGGGAAGATAAATGACAAAATTAAAAGGGATATAAAAGACATGCCCAAACAAAGATAGACAAAGGGCCAAAAAGCCCCGTGAAATTATGCTCCATGTGTTTAGTCAACAGAAAAATGCAAACTCAAACCACACTGAGACATCACTGCATGCTCACCGTAACAGCTAAAAGGCGAAGACAATACCAAGTGGTGACAAGGATGGAGAGAAACTGGAATATCCATCCACTGGGCAAAAAAGGTAAAACGGTACAATATTCTTGGAAAATAGTTTGGCAGTTGCTTATAAACATAAAAACTAGTAAATCCAGTTGTAGATAAATGACCCAAGAGAAATGAAAACAAATAGCAGCTTCATTCCAAGATCTCCAAACTGGAAACAACCTACCTGCCCATAGATAAATGGATCAGTAAATTGTATTTTCACAAACTTCACACAGGAAAAACACCGTACTGCTCAGCAGTAAAAAAAAAAAAAGAAAAGAAAAGAAACTCCTCTCATACACACAATAGCATGACTGCATCTCAAAACAATGCACTGAGCAACAGGAGCAAGACACAGGTGAATGGGGGCTGGTGAGATGGCTCAGTGGTCTAAAGCACCTACTTAGAACAAGCTTAGCAAAGCACAGCGACCGCGGTTCAATCTCCCAGCACCACATGCCAGCCCTGCCCCCTGGTGGGCTGAGCTGCCCCCCACACACACACACATATACACACATAAATAAATAAATAAAATAAAATAAAAAAACAGGTGAATCCACCGTATTACTGCACTGTGTGAAGCTCTTCACTATGTTAAATACATAATGCATAAAACTCACCACTGTAACCATCAGTGTACAGTTCAGGGCAAACATCACCACTATCCACCTCCAGAACTGCTCCCGTTTGTTACTACTTATGTCAAATATCTTTCTGCACCCCTTTGTTTCCAATCTGTTAGTCTGTTTGGATCTAAAGGGAGTCTCTTGAAGACAGTACAGAGGTGAATAATGTTTTTCCTATTCTGCTAGCCTTTGTCTTTTGGTAGAAGAACTTACACCATTTATATTTAAAGTCACTACTATTCAGGAAGGACTTATTTCTGTGATTTTAGTTATTTAATTTCTGTATGACAGCTTTTTCTCTTTCTCACTGCCTGCATTGCTGTCTCCTCTGTACTTAGATGGTTTCAGGAGGCAATGTTGGGATGCAATGTTGGGGTGCAATGTTGGGATCAAAGGCAAGGGCTGTGCTACGGAGCCTTGCTTGTGTTTTTGTAGTGAAATGTTTAAATTGTTTTTGCATATATTCTTTTTGTTGCGTATATTCTTTAGCTGTCATCTTTATGGTTACCATAGGGATTACATCAAATATCTTAAAGTTATAATCCTCTAATTTTTAATTTATATCAACTTAACTTCACTGCATGAGACATGTGTTGCAACATACAAAAACTCTGCTCCTACAGCTGTCCTATCCCATTTTTTGGTTGTCAATGTCACAAAAGTATATGTTTATAATCATGTGCCCTTAAAACTAATAACTCCTTGAAGTGTATTAGCCTCTTAAATTATGTAGAAAACAAAATGTGCAGGTATAATACTACCTTGTAGACTAATAGTTAATTTTTAATGTATTAATCTCTTCAGTATTATAGAAAACAAAACTTGCAGCTATAAACCACTGTGACAGTCATGATAGATTTTATAGCAACCCATGCATTTGCCCCCTGGAGGTCTTTGTTTCTCCCTCAGCGTTGAGCTTCTGCCTTGTGTCCTTTCATTCCCTGTCTCCCTTGAGATTACACAGCGGGTAGGTCCAGTGGCAGCAAGGCCCACAAGCTCCGCTCTGTCTGGGACTGTTTGATTTCCTCCACCATTTGCAAAGACAGTTTCACCAGGTAGAGGGCTCCCAATTGACAGTGTCCTCTCATACTCTGAGTACATCGTCCCACTCGCTGCCTCCTGGCTTTAGAGTTTCTGGCGAGAAGCCTGTAGACAACGGAGCTTTAGAGTGTGACATGGATCCACCTTTACTGATAAAATTGTCTTTGGCTTTTAAATGCTTGGCTACCAAGTGTCTCAGAGTGTCATTCTGAGTGCATCTTACCAAGGTTTTTCTGGGCTCTGTGCATGGCAGGAGGAGGCAGCATAGCCCATGCCAGCTGCCCACCAGGCAGTATGTACAGCGGAAGGGGGCTGTGCCACCTCGGGGCAGGCTCCTTCTCCCCAGGCCCATGTTCTGGCCTCACTCCCACATCCTCACTCCCCTTGGCCCTCACCTTTCAACAAAGCCTGCAAGATGGCCACATCCACATCCTGCTGACCATCCTTGCCTTCCCGGAAGATGGTCAGCAGCTGCCGCTTCCGGACAATGTCTTGGATCTGCAACAAATATTTTCCAAGTGAAAGAAAACACAAGAGCAAAAGGCCTGCTCAGAAACTCAAGGCCCAACACAGAGCCCTGGGGCAGGAGTCCTGCCGGCCCTGGTAGTCAGGGCACCAGTCCATATTATTTCCCCTTAACTGGTAAAGACAAGCACAACGTGATATGAGTGGTCACAGGGGAGAACACGATCAGGTGTCAAGAATCCTCACCTTGATGACAGTGTCTGCTTGGCATCCAGCATGGCTCAGCACGAGGCTTCTCCTCTGGTCCTGCTGCCTGAGCCTCAGCTGTTCCTCACATGCCTGCCCATCTGTCTGTGTATCTATCCATCACCCATCCCTGTATCTATCCTTCCACCTATGTGTTTCCATCTTCTACCTACCCATACATCCACAGCTCTACACATACCCATGTTTCTGTCTAGCTAGCTTTCTATCCTCCCACATATCTATCCAGCTATACATGTATCTACACACCTATCCATCTACCCATCCATCTGTTATGATTTGTTTCTAGTTGTCCTCCCAAATCATGCAGCCATGGGGCAGACTTCTAGAGTTTGGGATTAACTCATGATCCACTGGGATTATGGGTGTGAGCACCACACCCAGCCTGAGGCGTGCACCCTGAATGCAACTTAAGGGAGACAGACTTGTTCTCTATAGCCATTGCTGCTGCTGCTTCTCCATTTTGCTCTTGCTCTTTACCACCACGATGAAAAGGTTGCTGTCTGCTATGTGCTGTTCTGCCTTAGAGCCAGCCGAGTATGGACTGAAACCTGCAGTAAATGTGAGCTAAATAAACCTTTCCTTCCTTCATTCTGGGTGTATTTGCCCCAGCAACAAGAGGAGAGTAACTGAGACACCATCCATACATATATCCCTCTGTCCATCCATTCACCCATGTATTCTTCCATCTGTGTATCTATCCATCCATTCCTCTATCAATTTGTCCACTCACCTAACCACCTGTCTATCCACCCATGTGTAAATCACACATCTATTTATCATCTATCTATCCATGTATCCTTCCATTCATGCACCTATTTACCCATGTGTCTAGCTATCTACCTATAGTCTATTATCATAGCAGCCATGCCTGCTACCAGCTGCTCCTCCGTCAAACCCCTTCACCCTGTCCGAGGTAGGCACCACACAACTACATCATCCTGCAGATGTCCTGCTGATTCCAAAAGAAGCCTCAGACCCAATTCTTTCTCCAGGCCACACCAGTCTTCCCTCTTCCTTGCAGACTGTCACACTGCTGTAACCCTGGGGCGCTCGCATACTCCCACCATCTCTAAGCCACCAACTCCTGCATAAGGAGACCCTGCCTCACCAATAAAAAAGGTTCCTTCCCCATGTCCTGCCCCCCACCAGCTGGAGCATCATTTCCTGAATTTAATCTGGCCTATGTTCTCACAGAGAGCGGCTGCCACGTTGGCACTCAGATGAGCTTCGCTCCTTGCCAGATTCCACCCCTTTCTCCCCAGGAGAACAACCATGCTGACAGCAGTCAGCCCATTGCCAGCCCTGCGACCCTGTGAGACGGTCCCAGGGGGTGCCTGTGCCCACAGCCACATCTGAGGGTAGCACCGCAGCAGGCCCACACAGGGGAGGCTATGGAAGGAACAGGCTGGTTGTACCTTGCAGCAAGAATCACAGCACCTGGCCTCTCCATCACCAAACTGAGATGGGTTTGTGCCAAGCAGCACTCTCAGGGCCTGGACTTGACCAAGAGTGGACAAAAAACAAAATAAGCCAATTCCAACAGCAGAAGATTAGACCCAGCTCTGAGAACTGCCTGAATAATTTATTATCTAGCTGGAAAAGGCCTCTGGTCTGCCTGATGGGTCTGGTCACAGGGAAGGAGGAGGCAGGGAAGCAGAGTGGGAGACGTCGCAAGCCCCAAATGCATGCAGACTGGTGCTGTTTTCCTGCTATACAAATATAATCTCACAGACCATCGAATAAGGTCACCCTGAACCCTCAGTAAAGCTAAAACAAGGTCACTATGCACCCCTGTGGTACCTAGTCATGGATCCCTGCTTCTCAATCAACCAAACAGAGCCCATGTCCTGGCTGGGTCCTCTCTGACATCTGTGATCCACAAGTCATGGCCCTTGTGGTCAGCTCCCACGCACCCCTTTGGTCTGTGACCAGTGTATACTGCCCCCCTTACAGGACCCCAATCAGCTCAGTCGGAGCCAGCACTACACCCATGCCACCTGGAAAATACACATGGCCTAGTGTGTGGTAACCAGGACCTTTTGTCACCTGGGTCACCTTTAAGAGTTATGTGAAAGGAAAAACAACACCAACTGCTTTGCCAACACCTTATTGCAGGGAAAACTGAGGAACAGAGAGACTCCTACCCTCTCCACCTCAACTCCTGCCAGGAAACAGGATAAGTAATTGCAGGTCCTTCAGGTGCTGGGGGACTCTCTCCTACTGGGCTGGGCCATGCTGGGCTGGAGCTCTGGGGCTGAGGAGGGCTGACAGGCCACTGCCCTTTACACCAAATCCCTGCAGCGTTCATTGGGAACACCCAAAATCCAACCTCTGGACTGTGCAGACAGCACTTCTGAGGCCACTCCAAGTGCCTCCAGACGCACCTATGACACTGAAAGTCCTGATCCAGCTATGCCATGAGCCATTGCCTCTGCCTGCCCTGGACCCTATCATTCCCCCAACCCCTGGACTTCCTTGCCCCCATACCACACAGCTCTTGCACATTGCCTCCTCTCCCCAGAATGGTGCACTTGAGCCTGCAGTGTCCCAGTCCTGTGCTGAGAGCTCTGTTTGGGCTCCCTCTGGTCTCTGGGAGTCATCTCACACTGGCGACTGGATCACCGCCTCACCTTTTTGGTCCACTCCACAATCCTGCTCTCAGTGAAGTTCTCAAACAGCTCCTGGAATAGCTCGCTGAGCTTCTGCTGGATCAGGCCAATGGTGATGTCAGAAACTGGCAGGCTGGCCACCTGCGCGATGACATCAGCCACACGGCCTGAGCCCTCCACGATGACGCAGGGCGTGCCATGGGTGACGGCATTGTAGATGGTCTGCAAAGCCAGGCCTGTGTGAGCCACTGCAGCCCACCTGTCTCTGCTGCTTCTCAAACCTGAGCCCCTGGAGCAAAGGCTGAGGCAGGGAGCACTCGACAGGAGCCACTGTGTTCACAGTTGGATGACATCCCACTGCTCCCAGGGACACAAGGCCACCCGACACCTTGTGGGGCACTTACCCTACAATGTGTCCCCTTGTTCAGGCCAGGAATACAGGGTTTTGAGACATTCCCATGGCCAGTGGGAGTCTCCATTGCACAGACCTGGAGTTAGCAAGGCCCAGGAAGCCAGGACCACAGAGACAGTCCAGGGCCAGTGTCACATTGCCTGGCAGGGAGTGCCCACAGCACCAAGGCTGCCAGGGTGAGAGCACAGAGGGACTCCACCTTCAGGGTGGGGATGGAGACAAGGAGCTCCTCAAGCCAGCAGGAGGCCCAGGGCTCTGTTTTCACCTCCCAGGGGCATGAGAGTGGGGCATTCTCTACAATCCACAAACCAAAGCCCCACAGCCTTGCTCCAAATCCTGATTTTCTATAACAAATGGTGTCACGGTTTATATTTAGAGTCCCCTAAAGCCTCATGAGATCATAGGCAGGCTTTTAGAAGATGACTACGCCATGGAGCTCACTGCTGGCTTGCAGCTAGGAGGCAGGGCCTCACTGGAAGAGGTGCTCACTGGAGGTGTAGCCTGGAAGGGCGCCTCTTCTACCCAGGCTCTTCCTTCTCTTCACTTCCTGTTCTCCATGCCCTGAGCAGCTCTCCTCCGCCAGGCCGCCCTCCCTTGGAACCAGTAGACATGGACTAAAATCTCTACAGACTGGGAGTCAAAGTCCACCTCTCTTTGAAATTTTGGGTTTTGAGTATTGTGTCTCAGCCATGAGAAACTGAATAACCCAGATGGAGGTGGCCAGAACAATGGAGGAAATAAGCCACAAACCTCAGAGTGGGTTCTGGAGGAGCTCCATGAAAGGACCACTCCAAGCACCTGACAAGTCTGCTCTACACATAGTGGGCCTGGCCCAGGTGGGGTCATGAAGGAACTGCCCCCTTCCAGAAGGGCCTCCTGTTTACCTAGGCCCATGTGGAGCTCCTCTGGTACCACACAGGCCAAAGCCCAACCACCCTCCTACTCCATGGCCACCAGTGTGTTCCCCCATCCCACCTGGAAATGCCCCTATCACATGGTGGATCTCCCTCCCTCCACCTCCCAGATACAGCTCACCACCCATGCTAGGCTTCTGCAGAGGTGGCTAGTACTCACGTGCAGTGTACCAGGGCCACCCTCCAGCACCACACAGACAATGGGAATCTTGATGGCCACACCTAGGAAAAATGGCTCAATGAAGGAGTCATTTCACTACCCTGAGGGCTCCAGCCCAGTCACATGTCCCAGGGCCAGCTCAGAGACAAGTGACAGTAATAAACAGCTTCTAAAAGTGGCCACCATCATCAGGCAGACAGCTTGCTTATTCAATATGAATCCAAAGACACCTAACAACACTTCTGTCACTCATCTTTGTCCCCTCCTGCCCCAGCTCACTTGGGCTGCCTGTCATCTCTCTCAGCGGGCATCCACAGCTCTTACCATGGTGCCTAAGAGAGTGCCTCCAACAGGAGCCTATCCTGTCCTTGGGGCAGGTCTCATTAGGAACCCCACCCTGCACCCTCCATCCACCCTGCATCCAGCATCACTGGAGACACCTGAGGATCCCTTCCTGGGCACAAACTCTCCACCAAGCACAACAGCCGCCCTGCATGCTCTACACCCTCCCAGAGCACTTGGTCAGTGCAAGCTTCTCCACACCAGGTGCCCATGCCTGGGAGCATACAGGAACTCAAGTTCCCATCCCACCCAGATCCACAGTCAGACCTGGGACAGAGTGCCAATACTTGGCATTTCAAGCCCCCTCAGATTCCAAGGAAGCCCCAGAAATATGATGTTCCAAGGCAGCCACAGCAACCCAGGCACCACCCCAAGTCCCCTGATGGAAGATCTCCAGAACCTGTGCCTTGGCTCACATGTGAAACTCCCCTGTAATCCTCAAGGTCTTGGCCTGCCCTTGGGTCGGGAAGTTAAGCTAGAGTTCCAGCGTCCCCCATCCCATTCAGAAGGACCCAACACCAGGGCACAGGTCTGAAATGACTGTGAGACACTGTCACCCGGGGTGTGCAGACACCAGGCCCTCATCGAGTTTCTATCCCTGGTTGAGGGGTGGGGAACAGTATTGAAGGACTGAGGGGAAGGAGCACTGTGCCCATCAGTACCTGCTGAACTTCAAGCCTTCCTGACACTGGCCAAGCCCCTGCCCTCTGCCCAAATGTCTGCACAGGCCACGCACTCACCTCCTCTTTCCTTTGTCTGTTCAGATATGAACTTCTCCAGCTGAGTTCGCAGAGGAATCTCCACGCCATACTGGCCATGCGTCCCATCGTCCACCAGGATGAAGTGGGAGTGGTTACTGTCCAGGCAGGTCAGATTCCCTTGGCCTTCCTCATCCAGGACGTACTCAGCGGGGAAGCCACCCTGGGGTCCACAGCAGACTCAGGAGGGCAGGGAGAGCTCCCACATCCTGGGCCCCCACTGTGCAGTGGGTTAGGAGGAGTGGGGGGAATCCCCAAGACAGAGTCCTGGGCTCAGGAACCTGAGAATGTCCCCTTGTTGGGACAAAGGGTCCTCATACATGTGGTTACATTAAAGGTATGGACATAGAAGGCTAACTGGCGTTGTCTGAGCAGGACCCAAATGTCCTCAAATGACAGGCAGAGGAGGCCATACCATGAGGGGAAATCAGCGGCCAGAGGCAGTGACAGGGACAAAACTTTAGGGAGGACCGCAGCTTCCAGAAAGCAAGTGAGGAAGCAGATTCCCCTTTGCAGCCTCCAAAGGAAGCTGTCCTGCCCCGGCATCTAACTCAGGCCAGAACGTACTGATTTCAGAGTTCAGTTTAAGGTGACAGAGAATTTCTACTAAGAATTTCTGCCACTTTAAGAGTTACAGCGATGTCACAGATGCCACCGGAAGCCAATGCTGATTTGGTAATAAGAAATGGGGCACTGCTGTGATGGGCCTGTGGGTGAGGCTTTGGAAGTGGGAGGGTTTAGGGGCATGTGAGAGGAAGTATTGGTTCCCTTGAAAAGACTCTTGGCCGAGGCATGGGGATCAAGACACTACTGGTGCCAGTGCAAGAGAAGAAGGAGCACAGTAAAGAAAGTTTGTGTTGGGGCCACAGAGTCTAAGCAGTCTAAGCGCCTGCCTGACAAGCACAAGGACGCAGGACCCCACATGCTGTGCTGGCCCTGGAACTCTGGGCACGCCCTGCAGGTCCCGAAACCAGGCATAGTGGTATATGCCTGGAATCCCAGCACTGGGGAGGCTGAGACAGAAGGACCACTACAAGTCCAAGCTGCATAGTGAGACCCTATTCCAAATAAATAAAAATATTTAAGGTCTTAACTATCCAGCAGAAAAGTATAATAACAAGGTATGAAAAGTAAAGCCATATTAATATGCTGAGCTATAAAGGGCTGAAGTCAACAACTTCTGACATTGCCAGTCCTACAGATAGCCCACTACTATTATGGACTGCTGGACTATCTTGGATTATTTTGTTGAATTTATGCACCTACAATATTTAAATGGGAATGGAATACCCATCTCTGAAAAAACTAAACAAAAAAAGGGGATACAAATGAAGGAACATTTTGTATCTGTATATTCAAAATAGGATAGATACACAGCTACTTTCTCTTAATTCAATGAGAAGAAAGATTTGTACTAATAGTGTTTGTGGACAGGATATCATGTCTGCATCTTGTACTATGAATAACCACCACTAAGACAATATGCAATGTATTAATTATTGAAACTGTCCTATTAATCAGTTTTGAAACTGTCTCATTGCTATTTGTTTCTCAATAAAATTAATAATAAAAAGAAAGAAAATTCTACTGTAATATAAAAATTAAGCTCACTAATCTACTAGACAGAGTGATCTATTTGACTGCAGGCCTGGCTGGATATCCCCAAATTTATAGATAAAAGTCCATTTCCCACTTTGGTTTGCTATCTAAATAACTTCTGAATACTTAGAGAAAAAAATAACAAATGTTTGTAATATTGAATTATCAAATACAATTCTCATTGATGTTTAACTATTTTCAAACAAATACTTAAAAAAAGAAACAAAGTTTATGTTGCAGTAGAAAATACTTGTTGCACACACACACACACACACACACACACACACACACCCCAAACAGAATTATACATGATAGATTTTGATGTTTAGCTGAGACTTCCAAGAAAAGCACTGAAGGTGTGACCTGAGTTGTCACTGCTTCTCACAGAAAGGAAAGATAAATCCAGGGAGCAGCGAGAGCGGAACAGAGCCAGGACTTGATGTGGGCCTTCCCAGCCTAGCTAGACTGCGCAGTGCTAAAGAAGAACAGATTTGATATTAACTCCACACACACTAGAGAAGGCCAAGGGCGTGGACTGACAACCTTTCCTAGGGACACAGGGCCAGGCATGTGACTGTGGGTCACTCAGCCACCCCAGCAGAAGCTCAGGACAGAGATGGCACAGCCCAAGGCTGGCCTGAGGAGGGCTCTCCCATTTATTGGTGCAAAAACCTGGGCTACTCAGAAGATTCACAGGGCTTCTACAGATATAAGCATAGCAAAAGAGCTGGAAATCAGAAAGACAGCGAGAGCAAGAGCGAGAGTGAGACAGAGACAGAGACAGAGACACGGAGAGACAGAGGCAGAGACAGAGACAGAGACAGAGACAGAGACACAGAGAGGCAGAGACAGAGACAGAGGCAGAGACACAGAGAGACAGAGGCAGAGACAGAGACACAGAGAGACAGAGGCAGAGACAGAGACACGGAGAGACAGAGGCAGAGACAGACAGAGACACAGAGACAGAGGCAGAGACAGAGACACAGAGAGACAGAGGCAGAGACAGAGACACGGAGAGACAGAGACAGAGACACAGAGAGAGGCAGAGACAGAGACAGAGACAGAGACACAGAGAGACAGAGGCAGAGACAGAGACACAGAGAGACAGAGGCAGAGACAGAGACAGAGACAGCTGGAAATCTGTGCTTAAAGGACAGGGACAGGACAAAAGGAAGAAGATTTGGCAGACTCCTGAAATGGACTGAAAACCCTTGAGGAAAGGGAAGATCATCCAAAGACAGGGCCACGGTTCCGAGTCAGCGCTCACACAGGGTTTGGCCCCCAGGATTGCACTCCCAAGGGTGGATATTTTTTCTGCTGGATTCCAAGTTACCTTGGAACCTGGAATCCTTGACTCCTCCCACA